TTAAAAGGTAAAGGGAATTACTGTTAACTATTTTAATATTTGGAGCCAGAATATTAAATTTTTGTTTTACATCATTTAAATTTAAGTCACAGTTATTTATAAAAAGTTCGCATTTGCTAAAAAAGGTCCGAAAACACAGTATCCACATCACCTCCTAGAGTTCCGTTGTCCAAATACCAGACGTTGAATTTAGAATTTAATTTTTTAATTATCGGATTTATAGCCAAACTAAAAATTGCAGGCCCAAGGGGATCACCCTGTTGACAACCTACTTCCGAGGATAGTTTTTTTTGAGATGGTTAATTTTGTTGGGTCAGCGTAACTGAGAAGAAGATAATTGTATATTTCCGGTATATGCTGTTTTATTTCTGTCAGCAGGGTATCCCTATTTACCGAATTGAAAGCATTTTTGACGTCAATTTTGAGCAACACGTCAGGCTGGGCGTAAGTTAGGAAAGAGCGTAAGGCATGGACGGCTGCCTCACAGCCTCCTTTTACACCGAAACCTAACTGTACGGGTTCAAATTCCGAATTTAATTTTGGTAAAATATGTCAAACAGCAATTTTGGAGGCCAGACGTCAAAGTGTTGATCCAACAGCAATTGGTCTCACCCCTCCGTCCTTTTTGGTGAGGGCGATGAGGTTCGCACCGAAAAGAATGGTAACAATTTCTGGATTGACATTACCGGAACACATAAAATTGATTAATTTAGTGATCGAATTTACAAGTTGCTCACCTGCATCACCCACAGAATACGATGTTAAGTCTTTCAAATGTTGGGGTGAGATTCCATCCAAACCCGCAGCCGAACCTGGTTTAAAAGATAAAATGGCATCCGCAACATCTTTGATTTGAATTTTAAGGCATTCTTGCACTGCTGTTGGTGGGTCGAGAAAAAATGGGTTTACTGGAGCTGGAGGGTGTTTTGTCCGTAAGGCCTGAAGGGTGTCAGGGGTATCTGGTGATAGCACGTCGTTGGAGAACAAAAGGCGAGCGGCACCTTTAAGATCTCCGTCACATATTTTGTTTTGGATGAATTTGTTGCGATTACGATCATGTTTGATTGGAGGTGCGGGAGAAGGCGAGGAGCTTACAGCACAGTTATTCTTGATCTTCTGTGTCAAGGATAAATTCGGTTCTTCAGTTTTTATTATATGTAGTGTACTGTATGAAAATAAAAATAGGTTCTGCCAGTCTTGAGTACGATTGCTAATGTAACATTTCTGGATTAAATGTGACAAATGTGTAGCAACTGTTGTTCGAGCTCCTCGTGGGATTCTTTTAACTATGGGTACACTATTTTTCAAATGGCTAAGATATGTGTGGAAAGGAGTTGCATCGTTGGCTACATAAGTAGGCGCATTCGGAATAATGGGGTGGATATCTAAAGGTGGACTGTTTTGGCTACTACATTTTCTGTGTGTTTTTGTAGTGTGTATGTTTAGGCCTTTCAAAGATTTGAATGTTTTGTTGCACTATGTACATGTATGGGTCGTGTTCGACGTGCTATCACAAGATTGGGTCACGGACTGCATTTAAAACATTTCAATACTTAATAAAAAAAATAGCTTAAAACAAATTTAAAAACACAATAAAGTAACTTAAAATAAACACTGAAAAAATAAATAAAAATAAAAAGTCAAAATATGACGGCTGCTTTTTACGTGCAAATTTTACGTGTCCGGGCTTGTATAATTTGTTTACTAACTGGAACCGGCCGTTGGAGCAGATGGGTCCTGGAGTGGAGAGCACGTCTTGGCAAACGCAGTGTGGGATGTCCTCCGGCCCGTTGGATCGACGATCTACGTAAGATTGTCTGAGTAGGCAGGATGAGGATTGCGGAAAACCGGGATGTCTGTCGTGAACTTGGGGAGGCCTATGTCCAGCAGTGGACTGCAATAGGCTGAGCCATTAATTTGTATAATTCCATTTATTATTCATTTCACTTATCCGTGTCTGTTTCTCCTCTTTTGTACACAGACAAATATATAATTTGAAAGTGAGGCTTTTTTATTACACTTTACCAACGTTTTTCAAATCATTTAAAACGTAATTTTTAATTAAAAACGTATTAAATATATAAAAGCAAATTTATGCGACTTTGACAGTTTGACACTATTGGAATATATTAAATTTATATTAAAATATTTATATAAAATATGAAATATTTATATTTTATATTATTGTTTTTATATTTATATTAAATTTGACATCATTGGAATATATTAAACGTGAAAAGTGAACCGTTAAAAAGGGCTTACCATTAAAAAATACATCACAAAAAATTGGTAAACATGCATGGGAGTTAAATAAATAAATATTATTTAATTCCCATGTATGGTATTGAGGTCCGCAACATTCCTGCTACTTTTGATTAAAACTATGAATTTAATATTATTTGAACTGATTCATGGATGGTTGTATGTCTGTACTCAGACTAATAAGAGCATCGCAAGAAGTTTTTTCAGTATATTTCTTTATTTTAATGTGTAAATCGAGTACTTTTATATTATATGTTATTTTTACAGGAATTAATTTATTAATGAAACTTCCAATAAGATTATTATATATCTATTAAGAATGCAGAAATTCAGGAAAACTACCATGACTACCCAAAAAATAATAATTAAAATAGTAACACTAACAATGTAACGACAAATTCAGTACCTCCTTATTTTTTAATAAGTCGGTAAAAAATATATAATTGTTACTGATTTTATGGACCCGTATTTAAATATTTATCTGTCAATGGACAACATAATTGAACGTCCGACTTATTCCTAAATACAATTCCATTTCTAGAATGCGCCCACGCCACAGTTGCGCCACCAACGTATTACTATCACAGTCGGAAAGAGCGCGTATATCAGTTGAACGTTAGAAGAGAAAACATACGGCATTATCGATAACAAGTGAGTTAAAATTATTTTATGATTTAAAATTAATATTATTGTTATATTTTTATGTTGTCCTTTAATAGTTGTATTTGGTACAGGTTTACCAAATACCATTTACCAACTGGTAAACAGGTAACATACATACTGTATGTATATTTTATGTGTGTGCATAAATAAATATTTATTTATTAGGAGTCTGTAAAATGAATAAGTGAAGAATAGCTAAGTAATGAAAGTTATATTTGAAGCTTTATTTTAAACTTACTTTCTAGTGAAACTATCATTATAAGTAGTGCTATTTATTACTTATTTGTTTACATTTTTTCTATAATATCTTATCTTTATAAACATTGTAGGCTTAAAAATAATCAATTTTTATTGTATACATATTTATGTTCTATTTAAGATAGTACTTTCAAGTCTCTTATTACCTGACTGTGGCGAAGCCCAATGAAGGATTATGTGTTTGACCTGTATGTATGTATATATGATCTCTCGCAATTACTAAACTGCTTAACCGATTTTGATTATTCATACGTCATTAGGTTTGTCTCAAGGTAACGCGAGTGTTATATGCTGTATACCTAAATATTACTAAAATTAAAATGGTGAAACTCTGGAGTCAATTTGTGTGTTTAATTTTTTTAATCAAAGTTTTAAAGGGGCGATCACAAAAATATATGCAACTTATATGTTTAAAATTAATTTAGTATAAAAAAATGTTAAATCAAATATGAAATACAAGCACTAAAAAGCTGTAATTAAAAAACGAAGTAATTTATAAGACAAAAACACGTAGTTAAAGGAGCATAGTATTATACAGTAGGAGACACACATAAACTTAGCCGAAGTCGCAGCAAGTATGTATAAAATATGCGTTTTTGTTGTTAAACATAAAGCATGCAATTTTGCATGAACGCAATTTTAGAAAAAGTTGAAAAAATAACATGTTACTTTTTATATTACGGTGGAAGCTGTCAACTTTTGAATGTTTTCAAAGACGATCACTGGAAAAAAAATTTTTATTCAAACCAAACATTTAAATTAATGATTTATTTTAAAAATCGGTGGGCCACCTCTAAATGTGGAGCAAAAAAATTTTTTATTCATTTTTTTTTAATTATAAGCTTATAAATTCAACCCTTTTCTTATCATATCCTTTCGAAATAAACAGAATTTTTGCGGAACATGTAAAATAGTTGTACGTACATAGTTTGATATTACTGAAAAAGATTCTAAACTTTTTACAAAGTCATTTTTGAGCTTTATCAAAATATTCAACTTCCTCTCTCTCTCTCTCTCTCTATCTCTCACCTCTCATTATTTATGTTTTAAAATGAATTTACAATTTAAATTTTATTTTATGACTGAACTATTCATTGTAATATTACAATTTACAACTGATAGCGTGATAATAAAGTTCCGGGTCGAGAGCTCAGTTTGTTTATAATTAGGCTGCAAAAGTTCCGTCATGCTTGGACCCATGCAGCACGTATTCGTCATCTCGTTATATAACTTGCTGACTAATAAATGAATGTCATATTCTTTTAACTTTTGTGTAATAATATAATTAATAAATAGTATTTTTAATATATTTAGCTTTTTTATATAGTACAAAAAGGTACATTACTGGTCACTGGTCAGTGATAGTGTTTTAATAAAACCTATTTGAAGTTATTCTTCATTTTTGTTGATAAATACATAAGTCCTGAGTGCATGAGTTTAATGGAATTTGGCTTTCTTTGATTTAAATTTTAATTTAAATTTTATTTGTGTCTATTGTTGTAATTAAAATAAGTTTTAAAAACATATTTTTTAACCTAAATTTATTTTATATTTTATGATAAGAAAATCGTTCTATACTTACATAATATTTGTATTTAATATCACAATAAGTACGTATTTATAAATAACGCTGTCCTCATTTTAATTGTCAATAAAATTAAACAACAAGATAACCTTTTACCTTATAAGTGTACAAGACCGCAAAGTTAATTCAGTTAGTTGTAAACGATCATTACATGAAAGTTCGAGAGTGTTAAAGGAACAAATAAAATAATATTAATTTATTTTAAAAAGTAATTCATTTTAAAATTTTAATAATGGCGATCGGTGACAACCATAGGGCGGAAAATTTAAACGGTCCGTATACAGCTAGCGTAAACAAAAGAGCTAAAGGCTCTATTGCTAAAAGGGCCGAAGCGTATCTACAGGCAGTAAAAGACAGTCAGGAACCGAAGGGTAGGACATATTATGTATATGTTTTATATAATTTTACAATATTTTATCATAAAGTTAAGTAATTGTAAGAATTGAGTGAATATGATATTGGTAATGTTTACACCATTATAATATACGATAGATACCTATTTAACAACATAACCTCGCACCGCTCGGGTTACGTTTTAACGTTTAGTATAGATTTCTCAGAAATTAGATATTTTCGCTCATAAGAAAATATCCTTTATGTTGACCCGGATAACCAGCTATTATCATACCAAATTTCATCAAAATCTGTCCAGTGGTTTTCTCGTGATGTGGTCACGACAGTCAGACAGACAAAAATTCTAAAAACTGTAGATTCGGCCTCTGTATCGATAATATATACATAATTAAGATCAAAATGAATATTCGTGCAGCCAAACACTCTGAAAGATCGGAGCCTAGCAACATAAGCTCTTCCAAAGATTGGAGTTTCCATAAATTTGATAACGAACTACTCCTTACTCTACTTAAAATGTCTACGGTATCTTGTGATGGTCTTTTGGCCGCAACCGACGTACGGTTAGCGATTACTTGTTTCTATAGAATCATGTATGTTTTTTTTGACTCGTGCATGCCTAAAAAGAATGGGAAAAAATATAACCTTAAACGATATCTGGTTATCTATCGGTTTATCTCCTCGGCTTCTTTACTTAATCTCTGACTATATCCGTGATTGTCAGCAATTCGTTTGGTATTTTATGTATGAGTCAAAACCATATCATACGAAATCCGGTGTAAGTCAGGGCTCTATCTTGGGACCCTTATTCTTCTTAATTATGATAAATAATCTTCCAAAATGTATGAAACATGCGGAATGCCTATTATATGCTGATGATCTCAAGCTCATACTCGAAATTACGTCTGTCGAAGATTGCCTCAAGCTACAACGTCATCTAACAGCTGTATGTAACTGGAGTGAAGATGGAGACTGACAGAATGGAGCTCAATCACGTTAAATGTTCAGTAATGACGTTTAGTACAGTTCGGTATCCTTTGATACATGAGTACAAAATGGATGGCATTCTTGTCCTCAGACTGCAAAATATTAGAGATCTGGGCGCAAATTTTGACACCAAATTATCCTTCTGAGACCATATTAACTCAGTAGCAGCCGATTCATTTCGAAGATTAGGATTTGTATTGCGCAACTCCCGGGAGTTCAGTAGTCCTGTAGTAATACGGTTACTATATTACGCTTTAGTCTGATGCAAACTGGAAACAAGCGCCTGCGTCTGGCACCCGTACGAGAAAAAGTATGGGTTTATATTAGAAAAGGTACAAAAAAGATATTCCTGAGATTCTGAACGGGACTCATTCAATGACAAGTGGTCAATTTTGATTCTTGAGTTACTAGTATGCTGAGAAAGTAAAATAACCCTGTTATTAATATTCTTAGAACCCAAGTAGTATTTAATTTTTTTCTAATGTTTTTTTTTATCTTTTCTTTTATGTTTGTAATAATTTATAGTGTATAATCTTGTTAGAGTAAGTAGCACCGCCGTTCTAATTAAATGTAAATATAAATAAGTAAATTAATAATGACTATTTAATATACATAGACTATTTCAATAAGATTTTTCAAAAAATATTTTATTTACTGATTCGTATCTACTATATATGATTACTGACATGATTTGTTATTAAATAACTATTCAATTTTTCTGTAAAATCCAAACTTATAATATTAAATATGAAAATGAATTTGCTTATTGGTCCTTTCACGCTAAAACGGAAAGACGGACTGGTTTGATTTTTTATATGGAGGTTTATAGAAGGCTGAGTTGAGAAGTGGTACTTTTTATTAAATGAATATATATAAAGAATTTCTTATTCCCACGGAGAGACAACACAATAAAATATAGGGAATTTTGATCGATATAGTCATATGTATGAAGATAGCCGGATATCTCGAGTGTCATAACTCATAGGTTTCCATTATTTGCTCTTTTATGTGCATCATAACTCAAAACGTAAATTATGAAATGAACATATTTTGTAAGTCCGTGGCTTAATCCAATAACCCAGCAATTAAAAGTATTTTTAATAAAAAAAAATTTAAACCAAATAATATATTTATTGTTTAAATATCAAATGAAATTTTACACTTTTTGCAGTGCCGAGTGCACGTAAACAAAATCTGCTAAAGCTGGAAGTGCTCCAAAGAGTTGCTAACATTCCTATTGTGGAATCCGGCATGGAAGTAACTGAGAAAATTTACTCGAGGATCAGGGTAAGTTATACATATAAGCTAGTAGTGAGATGTCTTCTTTAATAAAAAAAAAAGTTAATAATTATAAAAGAATATTTTTTGAAGCCCGCCTATTTGACTGAAAGTCCATCTATTAAAAAATTCTACGACTTACGTTATATAAAATCATTTGAGGACTATAGTTTTTACCAAATATTCCCCTAATATATTTATTTTGTTATTGTAATAATATAATTAATAATGCTGCGATTTCTTAAAAAGATAATGTAATGTATTTATTCTAAAAATATTAATTTCTCCAATATTTTACATAAACAGTTTTCAAAGACTTTGTTGATTACAGGAATCAAATCCACTAATACGCTGGTATTTCTCAATGGGGGAAAAATCTCTGGCCACTGGAGTGATGCTCGCGTTACCAGCTGTTCAACTTTTGGAGTCGCCTATTCATCAACTAGATAAATTCCTGTGCATGTCCTTAGACGTTGTGGAAAAAAGAGTACCCTCCATATATTTACCACCACAGGCGGTAAGTGTTTGTATTAATAAAACTTTGAAGATAAATTATAAATAGAATGGATCCAGAAAAAGATATCGCATAACATAAATTACTAAAAATAACTACCAACAGCAAAACATAGCATGGAGCACCTCCTGCTCTTTGAAATCCCTACGTTAAAAGTAATTGAATTCCAACATTGAAAAATAAGATTCAGTTTTCTATTCTGTGCAGAAGATGGTAGTAGAACTTACTTTTTAGTGCTTTCTCATAGATTCGGCTTTCATGTAACAAAACATTTTATTTATTAATTAAAATTAGGTAAAATATTATGATAAGGCAGTGGTAGCCCAGTGGTAACTTGGGAAGCCGAAGCCCTTGGGAAACCAAGTGAAGGAATCTCCGGTCTCGCACCTCTGATATTTTCCTGTGCGAATCATTTCCAACATATTGGTAGGTACTTGTCTTAAGATAAAGAAAAACATCGTGTTTGAAAGAATCTAGCAAGATTTCGAAAGACATGTGCAGTCTGCCAACCCGCACCTTTGCAGTGTGGTGGACTATGGCCTGATCCCCCTCGTATTGAAGGGAGGCCCACCCCCAGCAGTGGGACGTTAAAAAGCGCTGAATACAAAATATTATAAATACAATCTTTAATCCAGATATACTCTGAAACCCGCCAATACGTGCTACGTAGGGCGGACTCGGTAAAACAACTTGGTACTGCAGTACTAGATTCTCGCGTTACCGCCGTCACTGCAAATGCTTTAGACCGAGCGCTAACCACGGCTGATATGTACGTGGACAAATATCTACCGCCGGATTATCAAGATGCTGCAGATGGTGAGATTATTTAAACCTTTTACTGGTGACTGATACTCGCGTTAACTGTTGTTGATTGATTAAGCTGCTAGATAATTTTGATTTCCATTTCAATATAGGAGTATTTCATTATACTTTCTTATATATACACGAATATTTAACATTTACAATAAAACTATCTTTTCGGATTTTTTCGCGGATTTATTTTCATTTTTGGATCCCGACGTTTGAAATACTTTATCATAGTCTATATATCAATCATAGTCACGTAACAAAGTCTATCCGAAAAGATAGTTTTATTTAAAAGGCTTATTTCATTCCAATAAAAATATTGTAATACAAATAATCCATTGTTGGTACACAGAGAGCAAAATGTAGTCATTACGTTCTCTCTGTCTAAAACGCAGGTAAAGATGAAAAGTGTAACCGACTCTAACAGTTTTTGACCGGGTATTAGAAGTTGGTGCGCCACCGGGTATTCAATCGAGTGAACTCTTAGATCTGAATTTATTTTTTAATTGATTTATATATAAAGGACAACCCTGGACGTATCATTTAAAATTTATTTATTAATAAAAAAAATTGATATAAAAAAGAAACGTGATTTCTAGTAGACAATTGGTAAATATTTCGCGTAACACACAAAAAATGGGTAATTTGAGGTATTCCATAAGATAGCGGTAAAAAATTATGTCTTAAAAATTATTGTTTTCGAGATATAATACATGTAAATGATTTTATTTACATGTCGTCAGAAGCTATTTTAATTAGTAGGTAATAATTAACATGTCTAATGGCGATAAACGTAACAGAAATACTTGTAAACAGTTTTAGTAATCACTAATCAGTATGATAAAGGGCATCTCATTGACCACAGTTCAAACTTTTGTAATGTTTCTCGTTATCTTACCAGTCGTTTAAATCAAATGTGGCTCATTATGAATCAAAGCGTGAACTTTTTGTCTGGTCATTGTCTAATTAGAACTATCAGACCACAGATATGTTAGCAATAAGTCAATTTTATTGTTTCTCGTAGTTAATGTAAGGAAATATATGTAGTACCTATCGTTCTATCGACAGCGGACGAATTCATCTTTACGATACCAAAGGTTATCTCAGGTTCAAGAGTGACAAATTAGAATATCATGCGAGGAGTTAGACTTTGAGCCCATCTGCAGACATAAATAACTCTATGGCAAGTCTAGGAGACGAATATTCATATTATGTACCTAAGTATATAATATTAGTAGAAGAAGATTGCATTTTTCTATATGAGTGTTTTAATGAAAAAAATAATATATTTGAATAATTTGTAACCATGTATTTAGTTTATTTGTGACCTTTGCCAATAGAAATAGGTAGAACTGAAGAACTATAGATCTATAGAACATATATAGAACTGTAGATCCAGATATTAGCGCATTTAAACAAACAAACTTCTAAGTATATAATAAATATTTATATTTTGTAAAATTTAAAAAGGAGATAGGTTTTAGGTTGTACGTTACTAAAATATTATATGGATAAAATATTATGTTAGAGTAATTACTTACATAAAAATATATACCTAAATTTAGTACTAAATCATAAAGCTAGTGATCTAAATTTCTAACATTAGGTAACGAAATAAGGAATTTCCTCAAATCCTAATAGGGTGCTATCAGGTCTAGACAACAATTATAATAATAAAAACCCGACTGCGTAAAAAGCGAACTAAAAAGATGAGAACAAGTTGACGAAGGAACATAGTATTATGCAGTCGGAGACATACCTACTTTAGGTAGGTACAATATACGTAGCAAGACTCGCAACTAGTAAAAAACGTGTACAATATATAAATTAATAATACAATATATAAAATAATAATTTTATAGTTTTTAGTAGTCAGTTAAACCTTTTTGAGTTTAATTAAACAATTCCTTATCGTAAATTAATTTAAACATTTAATTGGTATACATTTTTATAATCGCCTTTTAAAAACCTGATACCCCAATCGATTGATCGGACAAAAAAAAATTTTTAAGACACAAATTGGCGAATAGGATCCGTCATTTTGATTTCTAATGATATCTATATACCTACCCTATGACCTATCGCGTTATCAAAACGAATCTAACAACGTATTAATTATCAAAATCGGTTAAGCGTTTAGTAATTACGAGGGAACATAAGGTCGGACATACATACATACAAGTCAAACACATAACACTCCTTTGAGCTTCGCCGCAGTCGCCGCCGTAGTAAGAAAAATCCTACCTAGTAAGTTACCTACCTAGTAAAAGGGGTGGTTTCCTTACTATAGTGGTGATCATAGTGACAAATGCGGACGCAGTGGACAGCGGTAACGAGTCCGGCCGAGCCAGAGCAGCTCAAGCGGTGCAGCACGGGGCCAGGCTGAAGAGGAAGTTGCAGAGGCGACTGACGAGACAGGCCCTGGCTGAAGCTAAAGCTATTAAGGAACAGATCCACGTGCTCGCTTATGTGGCTGAATTGGTAAGAAATAGCAATGGTAAAAGGAGGTTCATTTATCTAGTTTCGTCAAATAGTGCAAAAATTGAATAAATAGAATTAGGTACTAAATATTATGTAATGTATATTCCCATCACATTATACTATCTATGGCTATGGCTAAATTTATTACTCATGCTAGGCATTTCAGTTTTGACTAAAGTTTTTAAAATAAAAAATAAAACATTATCTATTTTCATACAAACCAATAGTTTACTCTTTTTTTCAGTTTACTTATAATATAATAAACATTTTTACTTATAATATAATAAACATTTTTATAGGTTGCCACAGACCCAGTACTGGCCTGGAAGAAAGCCAAAGAACTGTATGCCTCTTTAAGTCAGCCTGAGCCGGAAAACCAAGCACGACCAGCTACGCTTGAAGAGTTATTGGTGCTTCTATCTCGTGAATCTGCCAGGAAGATCGTACATCTTATTAACTATACTCACACTGATTTACCCAAGTAAATTTGTTTACTTTTTTAGTAATTATCTTATTTAGTTTTATGATCATGACGACGCCGTCTGGCATCGTCCAGTGCGTGGCGTTTGTCTCATATTGAGACTTCATTATTCAGGCGCAATTCGCTGGAAATTATGAGTTTTTCTCAATCAGAATCAAAATTATATCAACTGATGCCGATATTTTCAGCCAAAGTGTGGCAATGAAAACAGTCGCCCAGTTTTATCGGTATCTTAGCGGACTTCGTTAAAATTAACAAATTGTAAAGCGATGACTTTTTACATGTAGTAATAATATAAAGAATAATCTAAAGACGTCGTGACATCGCGCCTTCATCACCAAAATTGGTTTGAGATGACATAATTAAATTTGTTTTATTTTTCGTAGCAACGTTCGTCAAGGACTGACTGTTGTGACGAAGCACATGTTGACGGCTTCTGATGCCCTGCTCAAGGTACATTTCATATTATACAATATCAATTGAAGCAAATAAAGTAAGTAAAATTTAAGCAAAAGTCAAAGCTGAAATTATTGGCTAATTTATGAACAACTAGCGACTCACCCTCGCTTCGCTTGGGTTCGTCCCTAGTTAGACTCCCCATACAAAATTTCATCCCCATTTTCACTCCCTCAAGGGATGATTTCCGAGACTAAAAGTTTTCTATGTCTTTTCCAGGGTCTCAAACTATCTTCTTACCAAATTTTATCTAAATCGGGTCGGTAGATCCAGAGATTACCCCTACAACGTCACAAACTCACAATTCACAAACTTTACTTCTTTATTATATTAGTATAGGTTCACAAAACTCTATCAATCAGTTTAAGTTTAATACTAATTAGAACTAATTTATTATATACAAATTACAATCCGTAGATGTTGCCAGTGGAGATAGCCATATCGGAAATGCGTGGATTAAGGGAAAGGCTACAAGAGATGCTCCAACACTTGCAAGATACCTCTAAAATGTACTTAGTAAGTAAAGATTATTGCAAAAGGTATATACCGTCTACCATTACACATACTCGTAGTTACTTACTCCTACGCCCTAAGGTTGCCTGGAAGAGATCGCTTATAGCGATAAGGCCGCCTTCTGTGTATCATCTATTTGTTTATTTCTTCTTTTGCTTATTTTTTGTGGTGTACAATAAAGTATTATCTATGTATAATGTATGTACATAATAACACGGTAATGTTATGTAACATTACCGTGATAATAATTAGAATATTTTTTTAAAAACTAGATGAGGCGACCGACGTCGGCCTGTCCAAATTACAATTTTATTTGTAACTAGCGACTTACCCTCGCTTCGCTCGGGTGCATCCCTAGGTACGTTTTAATTTTTTTGAGCGGAACCTTAAAACTTTTTCTAAAATAACATTAGCCTAAGTTACTCCATATAATATCAGCTTCTGCCAGTAAAAGTTCCGTCATAATGAGTCCAGCCGTTTCGGAGATTAGCTTAGAACAAACAGTCAGACAGACAGACAATACATTTAAAAATTGTGTTTTTCTTATAAGTAACTTGTATAATTTCATATGCATTTAGTAAAAAACTGTTATTTAGACATTACAAACACCCAATGTAGATCTTGACAACAGCGCCATCTACCGGGTTCAATACTTTAGCTAAAAACCTTTAGCTAAAAACCGTCCATGTGACCCCAAAAGTATAGAAAAAAAAATAGATCTAGGCTTCTAGCCGTTATGAAGAACACACACACAGAATTTTACATACCTATACAGATAAAGCAATATTTATTTAGGCTTGACTTCGATTACCGCCTTGTAATTTTGTGGGCGGGAGTTTGATCGGATAAAACCTTTTTTATATTACATATAATTTTGTTTTAACAGGAACAACTTGCCATGCTTCTGGCAGGAAATGAAGAACGGGAAAAGATTGCGCCGCGTTCTGTTTACGAGCAACGAGACGATTTGGTGACGTTCAACGGTGTAAATTAAGTTATAGTAATTTTTATTATAAAAAAGCATGTTAATTTCGAACGCAACGAGAAATTATGTTGAATTAACTATTGTTATTTTAACTTTAAAAAAGATATAATTAATTTAATTGACTTTTTTAAAGTGAAATTAACAAAATATGAAATTCGAGGAGTTTATTATTTAATATTGCACGCTACTATAATCACACTGCTCATTAATTATTATATACTTGATTTGTTTAAGTTGTGTTAAAAATTTCATGCATACTTTAAAGTCTACAGTTAAATACTTTGTAAGATTTAAAATATTTACAAAAATCCGCAAATTTAGATACCAACAGACCTATATACCTATATTAAGATATAAAAAAATTAAATTAATTATTTACCCACTTGTTTGTATCACGTGCATGTACAAGAAAATTTAATTTATGTTATTTAAAAGGAACAAGGCTCTTTCAATGGAAGCTGGATCTTTTATCTGATATTCTATAAGTAAATATATACCTACTTTGTGCCTACTTATCATTAATAATTTACAATTATTTATACTGATTAAAAAAAAACCTTATAAAATTATTTTTATTAGCTGTTTAGATTGATGATTACTTAGTAATTAAAACAACTAAATCATTTTTTATTAAAAGATAAAGAAAAATATAGCTCGGAGTTTAAATTAAGTAATCTTTAAAAAGTAAGAACTAAGAACTATTTATCATAATATTTTATTTTTCATAATTTAAGATAGCTACTAATAATCATGATTTAGGATAATGCAATGTAAGTAATTTATTTTTATATGGAGGTTGATATACGATATTATTTAAGTGCAAATATAATAAAATATATTATTATATATTAACTTAGTTTTATTTACCTTTTTGAAATTTGAATCCTAACTGTCAATAGTGGTAATAGGTAGGTGTCAAGTAACAAAATATCACTTATTATCATGAATTTTTAATACAAAATCATTTTTATATCGTATATTTTGTAACCTTAAATTTTAAAATGACAAATCCTATGCAGCTATTGCAAGAAGCATCGAAACGAGCTTATTACGTAAGTTTTGTAAGTTTTCAAGTCAAGATGAATTCAGATATTTTCATAATGGATAATAACTGAAATTTTAGTTGAACATTATTTTAGGTCAAAAATAATAACAACAGCACTCACACAATTGAAATTGGTTCCGGTCCTAAGGAAACCGAAAAACAATGGCGAATGCAAACTGCCCTTTGGTTAATGTTCATTGCCTTATTATTATGGGTTCTAAGCTATGGCTTATTATTGTTTTTTGCATATTTTTACGATGCTTCCCCCCATACGTCTTCAGCTTTAGGAATAATGTATTGTTTAAATAATTCTTGCCGTAACGAAGAATTCATAGAAAAGCATTCGTTTTAACTTTTTTAAATAAATATTTTTTTGTAAATAAATAAGATTCATTTATCCCAAAAAAGAATGACTAAAGTGTCAAAAACTACAAAACTATAAAAGTAGGTATAGTTTTGTTTTTTAGACCATTAATTTTATATTATAAATGTAAGTAGAGCGTGAAATGAGTGTTTATTATTTGTAAACTTTGTATCGAATTTTTCAAAATAATGTATTCAGAGAACTTATTTTTTAAAGTGAAACTTTAGGCGCGCTATATGAGGGAAAAAGGATTGGCTTTACGATTTTTGTAACAGAAACGGTTGTTACGGAAGTGAATAAATAGTCTATTAAAAATTATTTGAACTATTATATGAATTTATAATATTATAATAGCTAGGCTGTTGTGCGTACCGTGGACTGCTTAAAGAACTAATAAAGCTATTCTTGCCGAACTTTTAAGTTTAAGGTCATAACCACGGAGCGGTCACTTGCGGGCACTTTCTGTCAAAATAAAGCCCTAAGATTTTTCGGATATATTATGCGATCATCCAAGAATAGTCTAGAGAAACTTATTATCTTAAGACCAAATTGATGGTAAACGCGCACGGAAGGGCACCTATAAGGTGGTCGGACGCGATAAAAGAAGGCAGTGGGCCCTCCCTCCATGCCGTGGTCCAGGCATCGCTGAACCGAACTGACCGGAAAAAATCATAAGTGGTCACGATCCTGATCAGTGAGGGAACAAGGAAGAAGAAGAATGAGTTTATATAATATAATTTATTGAATCATTACAACATTTGAGTGAAAATTAAATTTTATATTGACACCATATGTACTATGTGAATAATAAAATATTTTTTTCCATTTTAAATAGATAAATATTTTTTAGTATCTCTTATATCCTTATTATTTAAAACATAATTGTATTTATTAAAAGTATCAATTACCTACAGAAGTTTCAATTCTTGCTCGTGTATCGTATATATGTATCACATTGATACACGAACTCTTTAATTTTGTTGATTGTTGAGGATTATATTCCGTAGTGATACAGGATACTTGTATCCCACTACACATAAGCTCGGCCATCCATCAAATTCCTTTCGCTCAATTTGAAGTTAAAAGACTTAGACGAAAGAAAATTAATATCGCTGTCCATAGTAGTCGTTTTAAGGTTTCCACTTGATTTTCACTACCTACCCACCGTGCTCACATGTTCTTATATCAGAACACACATTTTAATAAATGTTTGGTCTTTATAAACTAATGCAGTACGGCTACGGTGTGATCTATCCAGAGCGGACCGACTTTCGCATATTATACATGAGAGATTTCATGGCGAGCAGAAAAAATCTGATTGATCTTTAGACATGTCTGTGTCATCCAAATTGTATTTTGATGTGCACTTTTAACTCCATAATTTGGCGGGTTAACTTTTATTTTTGACGTGATAAGTCTCTAAAATCATACCGAAACATACGGGTACCAGGTCAGAAGAGAGGACCGTAACGAAATGGTTGCATACGAAAAGATTGCATTAGGTTGCCATAATAACCGTTGTTATTGTCTGAAATATGATCAGTTTATAACTATACTCTTTGAATATAGACCAGGGTCGATAATTTTTAAAACCAAAAAATATAATAGTAGGATAAAACCCATTAGAAAAGGAGGGGAATATTATAAAAATGAAAGGAAAAATAATTTACGGGCGATCTGAGGTCGGGAAGGGGATGGGGGTGAGGTTTTAAGGGTAAAAAACGGTTTTTCTCGATTTCCGGCAAAACTAAAAGTCCTATCGAAAAAAGTCAAATGGCAAAGTTGTAGGTAATAAAAAGATCTAAACTTTTGTATTTACACTTTTTTCACATAACCTCAAAATTTATGTGAAAAATTCAAAAAACCAAGTTTTTGGTTTTTTATTTTTATCTTTTACAAAAATGTTTTTGTTTTAACGAAATTTGGTGAAAACTTACCTTTTTATGTCCCAAATACGCTGTAATTTATTTGATTAAAAATATTTATTTTTTCACCTTATTTTGAATTAATATCGAAAAAGCACCCTAATTTTCAATCGAAAATTCACCCGTCAAAATATCAGCTTTTTTCAAAAAGTTGATATGTTTTCTGTTCGTTGAAATCTCTACTTTCCGATGGTGAAAAAAAAAATATATGTTACTATTTTAAATAAAACTATCTTTTCGGATTTTGTCGCGGATTTATTTGTATTTTTGTTTCCCGACGTTTCGAATGCTTTACAGCATCCATGGTCACGGGAGAGACTGAGGTGTTACATGTCTTAAAGATATAGTTGTTACAGACAGCCTACCCACAATTAACAAAATGAAAATTGCACCAATTACATTACAATATTTTAACTTTAAATATTTTTCTAATTTTAATTATAATTGAATATGGAAAATTATTTATTTAATTTTTTGCTATTATTTTTATAATTATTACAATTTTAAAAATATTAATTAGTAATCTATATTTAGTGTTGCCATTATTATATTTATAACCATAAGAAAAATATAAAATATAGTATTAATTATTTAAGCCACAATTGATCTATGTGTAATTTGAAAAAGTTAAGATTAATTAAAAATAATAATTTTAATTAAAATTTGCTATTATTTAAAAAACAAATTATTAAGCAACACATTACTACATACATTTACAAATGAAAAAGTGAAAAAATATTATTAATCAGAAATGCTATCATTTTGATCTACACAGTAAGAACTTACTACATCTACCTGTCTGTTATGTTTAGATTTATTATTAGATTTTATTATATTAATAACAGGATCCCATGACGATGGTAGTACCCAGCCATCTTCCCTATTGAAATTAGGATGTTTTTTAATTTCTATGGCTTCTCGAATCATTCTAGGGCGATATCGGTTTTCTTTCGCCAGGATCTGAGGTCTATCGAAGCGAATATAATGGCTTGGGCGGTCCTGACTGTGTTTGCAGACAGCAGATGTTGTATTGCGACGGTGCTTCACATCAGCTATGTGTTCTTTGACCCGGGTTCTAATGGATCTCTTTGTTTGTCCGATGTAAGAGAGCCCACAATCACAATCAAGCTTGTAAACTCCTGCATCTTGTAGAGGGATGTGGCACTTGACAGGTGGTAGAAACTGACTAATTTTCTTTGGCGGCTTGAAGTAAGTTTTAATTGAAGCTCGCTTTAGAATGTAGCCAATCTTGTCAGTGACGCCTCTCATGTAAGGTAGGACTGCAGGGACGCGCTCGACTGTGGCCGGTTTCACTCGGTCCCTGTGACGTAGGCGCGGCACTTGCAGCTTGTTGTCTCGCAGAACTTGCTTGACATGTTGGAGCTCTCCGGCCAGGTGTTGCTCGTCACAGATCCCGCGTGCCCTCTGAAACAAAGATTTTCCCACGGTAGCTAACTGTGAAGGGGGGTGGTGAGATTGATTGATAGATAAAAATAATAGCAAAAAATTAAATAAATAATTTTCCATATTCAATTATAATTAAAATTAGAAAAATATTTAAAGTTAAAATATTGTAATGTAATTGGTGCAATTTTCATTTTGTTAATTGTGGGTAGGCTGTCTGTAACAACTATATCTTTAAGACATGTAACACCTCAGTCTCTCCCGTGACCATGGATGCTGTAAAGCATTCGAAACGTCGGGAAACACCTTTTTTTTATACACTTGCTTATCATCTGCCTTATTGCAGATGATACAAACAGATTCATCCATACTGATAATCTGAAAAGACAAAATCGAATTAATAATGCCTTCACTATTTTATCGTGAGTATATCCCCATGAAAGAAAGGTAAAATGGAGGATGAAAGTTTGTATGAAATTAATATTTAAAAAAGTACAAAAAAAAATATCCACCTGTAGATGATTTAAGAGTTTTAAAATCACTTTCTTTAAAACGTTGTCCACATAGACTTAAATTTAAATATAAAGATTGTGATTTCGCCAATATTGGTCGTCTTATTGCTTTAGCCTACAATTTCATCAGTATTTGTCTTTTGGGAACAAATGATCTTTATTTTCTTTACATTCCACAATTTGCCATTTTAATTAAATTTTAAATTAAATGAAAAAAGTCCATCTACGTTAGAGAGCATTACAATATACTGAGGGCCATAGTGATCGCGATATCTGGCGAAAGAAAAAGGCAAAATTCTTCCCCATTTCACGTGCAGTCACTTGATCGATTGTTGGCTTAAATAAAATAGTTGTTGGACAAAAGTTATTGGTCAAAGCGTTGAGGCGGCCACTGACTCAACATATTCGCACCGCGATTTTAACGGAACTAATTCATCTATTTTATTTGTCATCCATGATTTTAACGTGGATAGTATATTTTATTATTTATCTGTAATCTGTAATTTCATGCCCTAAATCACGCATTTATGTAGCTGTTACAAATAAATTGTGTACCTATCTATAATTTAATTTTTATAATCTATGATTCTATGTCACAGGCGAGGCTGCGAGATTGAAATATCAAATTTGACATTACTAAAATTAATAAAACTGCGTGTGTTGATATTCTTTTTACTGTGGGTTAGATTTATTTTGAATTATATTAGCGGATATATTCATTATTTGCGGATAATAGCTGAATTTCTGTAAGGAAGGCTAAAATGCCTTCTATCGATGTGATGCTCCCGCCGGGGCAACCACACGAAACGTCTCCAGAAGAGCCTCAAGCACCCCCAGCTCCAGTTATTGGCATTATTTATCCACCACCTGAAGTTAGGAGTATCCTTTTTCAAATTTATTATTTAATACCAAACATAACACCAAGAGTTAGGCAATCTTAGGATCACTATGGATATAATTAACATATTTTGATAAACTAACCAGTATCAGAAAATGTAATACAATCTTTCCTTGCCATCAAAATATAAAACCATTAAACTTACATAAGAAAACAGATATTGATTTATCATAAAGAGGAAAATGTGTGTTAGTCTCTTGAATAAGATATATTGCTAATAACTTAGGGGACTTAGAGAAGATGCATATTCAGGTCTGTTATACAATCAATGACTAAATATTTATTAGAATTAATAAACACAATATTTTTTTGTAATATTTTCCTTAAACCACTTCACATAGACATTGTTGATAAGACTGCTAGCTTCGTAGCTAGAAATGGGCCAGAGTTTGAAGCACGCATCAGACAAAATGAACTTGGGAACCCAAAGTTCAACTTTCTTAACTCTGGAGACCCATATCATGCTTACTATCAGCACAAGGTGAAAGAAATAAGGGAAGGAAGGGGTAAGTTTATTGCTATAAATATTTTAAACAAATTAACTTATCTAAAATTATTATATAATTATATACTTAAACATTTTTTTGTGATTATAATATTTAGTTTATGAAACAGAAACTCAAGTTATATGCATATAAGTCAATTTGCCTGCAATGGTATATTTTGTGTTATATTTTAAATATTTTGATAAATAAAGTTAAATTTTGCAGTATCTAAACTTAAAAAACATGTAGCTCTCAACTTTCTTCAGTAGTTTAAGAATTCCTGTAATTTTTTCCTACTAAATCAACCTTTTATTAAAATTACGATTTTAGGACTAATTAGATATTTTTTGAAACCAATTTTTACTAAAATTTGAATAACTTATATTTTTTTAAATCAACTAATAGTATTATTACTATAAAATATTATCGTATATTTTTTTTCGAATTTTCCACTTCAAACTTGAAGCATCTATACATTTTGTAAAGACTTAAAATTATACATTGGAAATTACACCATCTCTCACTTCTCAGTTACGTATTGAAAGGATTATTGCCTTATTTCTTTCTATATTTATTAGTAATTCAATTAGATTATTATATAGGCATTTCTAGAAAAAAAACCTTACACATTTGAACTAAGTAGTGAAAACAAAATAAATTAAGAAGGATTTTTGAATTGTTGCTATGAAACACTAAAAATAGATATATGTGTATCAAAAACTAGTTTCATGATAAAAGCAAGTAAAATTCACAGGCCCTGACACAGCTGTTGGTCCAATTGGTCCTCCAATTCAGCGACCTGGTCTTGCTCCGGCCACTGCTGCTCGCCAACAAGAACTCCTTAAAGCCGCCGCGCCAGCTGAACCTCCACCACCACGCGATCCACCTCCAGATTTCGAATTTATTGCTGATCCACCTTCCATCTCAGCACTGGAACTTGATATTGTCAAGTTAACTGCTCAATTTGTTGCCAGAAATGGCAGACAGTTCTTGACCGATTTGATGAAGAAAGAAGAGCGCAATCATCAATTTGATTTTTTGCGCCCTCAACACTCTCTTTTCCAATATTTTACAAGGCTTTTGGAACAATACACCAAAGTATTATTGCCACCCAAGGAACTGGTTTCGAAACTGAGTGGTGAAATACGTAGCGGAGTACTAGAACAAGCTAGAAGTAGAGCTGCTTGGCATTCGCACCAAGCTAGACGTAAAGCAGCGGACGAGGCAAGAATTGAAAAAGAAAGATTGGCATATGCATCAATTGATTGGCACGACTTTGTCGTTGTGGAAACTGTTGATTACCCAGCGGGAGAACCCGGTGAGTTCCCGCCACCGACAACTCCATTAGAGGTTGGTGCCCGAGTGCTAGCTCAGGAACGAGGTGAAGATATCACTCATGGAAATGAAGAGGACGATACTGAGATGCAGTTGGAGTCTGAAACAGAATCTGAGTCAGATGATGACCTAGCTGAGATGGAAGATAGAACTCATCAGCAACAACGCCCCGACGACAACAGGGTTCAAGACATGGAAGAAGAGAGTTCTTCGTCTGAAGATGAGGGGCCTCCGGAGCCCCCCAGAGCTGGAGAGGAAGCCCCATTACCACCTCGCCCAGATCGTGTGGTGGTAAAGAAATACGATCCAAAGCGAGCTCGTGCCCAGCCTACGCCGGCTAGCGAAGAGTGGCTGGTGTCACCAATTACAGGAGAGAAGATTCCAGCAAACAAAGTGGCTGATCATATGAGAATCGGTTTGCTTGACCCGCGCTGGCTGGAACAGAGGGACCGCGCTGCCGCCGAGCGATCTGATCGTGATGAAGCACTTGCTCCTGGCGCTGCCATCGAAGCATCTCTTAAACAGGTCAGCTTTATATTCATTTTTCTAATATATTTATTTTCATGTTAAAAAAATACGTACGTATATTAAAAATACGTTAAGTTTTAATTTGTCAATTATATTTCAAATATAAGTCTAAAAATAATAACTGCAATCTATAATTTATAAACATTTTTGTATAATATTTGAGTAAATTCTAATAAAATATCATGTAATTCAGTTGGCAGAGCGTCGTACTGATATTTTCGGTGTGGGCGATGAGGAAACAGCAATTGGTAAGAAGATCGGTGAAGAAGAGAAAAGACGTGACGAGCGCGTGACGTGGGACGGGCACACGTCCAGCGTGGAGGCGGCCACGCGAGCGGCGCGCGCGCACATCACTCTGGAAGATCAGATCCAACAGATACACAAGGTAACCTGCAGTTTGATTGCTTGTTTATTTTAATTTAACTTTATATTATTTGTATTTGACTCATGACTTACAATAGCTTCGCTCGGGTTTGTCCTTAGGTGTTTTTTTCTATACATTTTATTGCGTTATTAGAAACCGGTCACGCAGCGCACGTTGATAAATTAAGTCAACGGCCAATTTTATTATGACTTCTGACAGTAAATAAATTTGTATCACAATAATAATAAATAGCCTATAGCACTCACCAGTAATGCACCTTTCAGATATTACCCCCTATACCCCAACTTACAAATGTTACCTCTTAATAATATTAGCCTCTCTTTATACAATGAATAATAAGTAGATTGAGTCTAACTGAAATCATTGATAAATATGTGACTTTTTTTATAGGTGAAAGGTCTCTTGCCTGATGAAGAGAAAGAGAAAATTGGTCCAAAACCAGTACCAACCGCAGCTAGAGGGCAGATGGCGCCCCGGCCTCCCCCACCGCCTGCGCCGCGCGCGCCCGCCCCCGCCCCGGCCGCCCCACAGCCTGTCCTGCTGCAACCCATCCCTCCCCTCATGGTCATACCACCTCTTGCACCTCGACCTCCTCTCATACCTACACCAGTGGGTGCACCCTATGGCTTCCCAGTGCCAGGGGTTCCGGGAGGCGTAGGGGTTCCAGTGCCAGGAGCACCCCCCGAAGAGGATGAGCCCGCAGCAAAGAGGCCGAGGACTGAAGATGCGCTGGAGTCGGAGCAGACCTGGCTCGCTGCCCATCCGGGACCAACGCCATTGCAGGTATGTTGTATTAATATGAATGACATATTTTCAATCATTTACAATATACTACAATTTTTATTATACTATTATTTCTGGTTGGGTCTCATGTATGGTAATTTGTAAGTAGATGATTGTTGTATTGTAAACAAATATTATTTTAAAAGAGCAACTGTTGAGTTTCTCGTCGGATCTTCTCAGCAAAACCGCCTCCTGCGCCGGTGGTAGGTTTCTTACGGACTTACTTAATGACAATTAATATAAATTTTGAAAATGTTAAAAGTGACAATACAAAAGTGATTTTAAAAGTCTATTTGAATAAGTATATTTTGATTTGTATAGATTTGAATAAAGTTATTGTTTGCTCTCAATTAGTTATCTAGAACTTATTAAATGACATTGAAATGTCATTAAAGTAAGGATACCAAGTTTCAAATAGATTCGATCCATTGAATTCATTCACATCCTTATGTATCCTGTCACCTTTCAAACAAAAAAAAACTAATTTTTTTTCATATTCATCCGTTATTCGCTACAATGCCACAGATAGATGCACACATTAAACTTATCACCCCTCTTTTTGCATCAGGGGTTAAATACACAATCAATTTAATAAATACTAATATATGAAACAGAAAAAAAGGGCAATCGTTAATAATCTTTATTTTAAACCATGTCTGAATAAAGGCTTATATTATAATAATATTAATATATGAAACATTTCCAGGTGGTACTCCCATCAGCTCCGGAGCGCAGTGAGTGGCGCCTGGACGGTCGCACGCTGCAGGTGTCGCTGCCGCTGTCCGCAACAGTTGCAGAGCTCAAGAATATACTGCAGCGCTCCACTAACATGCCCACTGCTAAACAGAAGCTACATTATGAGGTAGGTTTTAATGTTATGGCCGATTTTGTTTATAAAATACTTATATTCTATGGGAATTATATGTAGTATGGCGTAGGATTTTATACCGAACTAGCATTGCTCGCGGCTCCGCCCGCGGTCAGATGACCAAAAACCAAATTCTTAAGTTTTACATATTAGTATACTCTTACATTGCAGTTTTTGTATTTTTTCACAGAAATGAGACATTTTCCCGCCATAAAAAGTATCCTATATGTTGACCCGGATTACTAGTTATCATCATACAAAATTTCATCAAAATCCCTCCAGTAGTTTTTCTGTGATGCGGTAACAGACAGACAGACAAAAATTCTAAAAACTATAGATTCGGGCTCTGTATCGATAATAATGTATATTTCCATAAGATTTTCCAAAAAATATCTAATGTACAGATTCGGCTTAGTCACAATTTTATTATATGTGTAGATGAGTCATACAGTTGTTAAATGTTTGAGAAAGTAATCGTCAGCTGTCTGATTAAAGTACGATTAACAATTCTTATCATTATGTAAAAAATATAATTATAAATATATAACGTGATTTAAAAGGACTTAATACTTAAAGATATTATCAATAAGTATCATAAACTGAACCTGGCAGTATGAGGAAAAGTAAACATAATTTTTGGGTTGTTAAGAAATATTTTTAATAAGTATTTTTTATTAGAAATTATTTTTATCAAGGTGTTAATAAAGTAATAAAGTTTTTATTTCTTGCAAATAAATTTATAAATACTATCAATATTACAAAATACAGGCGTCACTATCTGTCTCGCTCACATTTCGTAAAATGACTCTCTCTGTCAATTTAGCATCATTATGTGTCTGAGCGTAAAGCCCAGTTCGCATTAAGCTAGTATTTTAGTCTAGTAGCGAGTAATTTAGTAACTAAACGTGTCTGAACACTAAAAATTTAGTCGATTAGTTTAGTAAGTAATTTAGTCGAGTCAATCTATTTTATTCTATTTTTTTGGGCGAGTAGCAGCCCCCACCACGCGTCCGAGCTCACTGGTTCACCGGCTAAACAAGTACGAACCTGTCGAATTAGTCGAGTTCAATAGTTGCCGCCATAATGTCGTTTCGCTGGAGCAAAGAAATGACTTTTAAATTTGTTTCGAAATATGTTGAACACGAATACTTGTGGAATATTAGGTCCTTGCATTATAAAAACAAGCATATGAAACATTCCGCATACTTAGATTTGGAAAAAATAATGAATATACCATTTTCGTACCCATAGCTTCTTTTTATTAATCACACAAATTTCCTCATCCACCTCTTCTAAAATAGCCGTTACGATCAGCTTAATCAGTTTATTTACTTTATTGCGTTGTAGGCTGTTCATCTTGCAAAACACCACTCACTTGTAAACTGTACTCGACCAAAGTGCGAACGATTTTTGGTGAGTAGCGAGTAATTTAGCTACTAAATTACTCGCTACTAGACTAAAATACTAGCTTAATGCGAACTAGGCTTAACGGTCACGCGACTCCAGTGCTTTTTTCCCATCCCAAAAGTGGCCAATGTGCCTAAAAGACGTCATCACTTCAAAAACAGTAGTTAGTCTATGTAACTCTAGCCCCTAAACTGGTATTATTTTGAAATGGAAAAATCATCAATCAAAAAAGTACTAGATACACAATCGAATGCAAAAGTTTTCTTAAAACTGTCACCAATTGTGTTTAGGTAATTATTCTAGTTGAAATAAATATACAACAATGTAAACAGAACCTTAAATGCAATGCTTAAAGTTGTTTTCACAAAAAAAAATAATTAAAAGCGCGCTCAAATGTTCAAATGAGCGCTCATTTGGTAAGAACATTTTTTTATCGCTAATTGTGTATGTAGTACTTTTTGATTGATGAGAAAAATATATAAAGTAAAATAAAACACAAGTATTAAAACTAGTAATTATTTCCAGGGTCTTTTCTTCAAAGACACTAACACACTGGCATACTACAACGTGCCACCCGGCGCTCTCGTACAGCTGCAAGTGAAAGAACGCGGTGGAAGGAAGAAATAAACATTAATTTTGAAACAGATATAATCATTATTATAAGTTACAACTTGTTTGACTTTGTAGTGGGAATAAAGAATTACTTGTGATTGTTTGTTTTTTAAACTCGTATTTTCGCATAAAAATGGCAGACATTTTTTATTTTTTATGTACATACATGTAAACAAAAATATTTACAATATGCTAGTGGAACCTAAAGACACCTTAGTACAGTATCGTATCAATATCACGTATAATGTGTATTTTATATGTATACTAAATACAATATTTGAAGGTACAGATTACTTATAAGAAGAAAATATAAAAATAATGATAATCATGACTAAAATCTTTAATATATTATGTACATTTTAATAGAAACACTTGAAAAGTTTCGAGAGATATTAGATTCGTATACGAATCTAATATCTATATATAGAACTATAATTTCATCAATATGTTTAAATACGGGCCGGCGGCTAATGTCAGCTTCCATTGAAAAATATTCAACTCACAACAAATCTCCCACCTACAACCGCTTGCAATTTCTTCGGAAGCACAGGCCACAGATATAAAAATTAAAAAACAAAAATCTACAAATGTTTAAGTTTAGGATCTGCTAAGGATAACAGATGTTATAAAACAGTATCAAATATTATAAAAACATTTTATTGTATATTAATTATTATTTTAATAATTTAATATAAATAATATTTAATAAGGAACTCTGAATCATTTCATTATAAGGATAAATTGGTTAAAAAATAAAAACAAAATGTTTAAGCAGTTTTTTTATTAAAACGTGAAAAGAAATAACAATATTATACTATATTTTATAAATAATATATATTATATAACGTTTACAAAAACAATTCGTGTTTAAAATAAAGTATATTTTCGATGGAATGTAAATGTCGTGTATAAGCAGTATAATGTTTTTATTATGGTCTTATAACATTAGAATTGACTTGCGTTCGCTTAAACTTTACATCTAGGTTTTTACGTTTATCTGTGATTTTAGTCTAGGTTATAGACAAAAAGAGTGGACTGTTTCTTTGCCAGCCGTCAGCTAAAAATGGCGGAAAGGCGCGACAGAGACAAAGCGAATGTGCGGCCAGAAGCCTTATAATTCTTAACCTGAGCGGGACATCAAACTTCATACCTCATGTTATATATATATATATATACATATAGGCCACTAAATGAAACAGTGAGCAGTTTCTAGCTACACAAATCTTGTTATACCTTTTTTAGCACGTTTGGAAAAAAAATTAGAGTAAAATTTTTACATATTATGACATGATGAAGTTAGCTGCATTCCTTTTACAAACAGTGAGTTGTGACATACGAGATGAAATCTTTAGCTATTTTTGTTCTGTAACGCCAAAGAAGTATAACTTCTTACTTGCGTACATACGTACACACACAGTTTTTTTTAATAATAGTCGAACTAACCCTTACTAAACCTTAGGCCGTAATGTTTTTTGTTTCATATTTTTGAATAAATGTGTAATGACGTGATGTATACATTGATATGTAAATGTCGAATTTGAAACAAAATTTTAATAAAATACTCTTTTACTACATTAAATACACATATATAGTATATATTACCAAATTATTAAAAAAAATATATCAGTATATTAAGTGCTAATGAGTCAATAAGGCTATATATTATTAGAAACGCTGCATAGCTGTATACATATATATAAAATATAAAAATATTTTATTTTCAAGGTACACAAATTATTGCTTTTTTTAATATTTTTGAATACATTTTGTAGTTTTAAAAACTTCTGAAATAAAAATAAAATTTAACAAAATATACAACAATAAAAAAGTAAAAATGGAATGTATCATCATCCATTTAAAACAACATTATGCTTTAAAAATATTAACTAAAAATAAATTCTGCTAAATATGTCCCCAAATTGCGTAATATTTGGATATTTCATTTTCTTAAGTACTTGAATAAAACAAACAAAACAGAAAATGAGGGCTTAACAAAAATTGTTTTACAAGTTTGCCACAGAACTTAAATATTATAAATCCCATTCACACCAAAATAGCTGAACGGATCAGGATGAAATTTGTCACAGTGATAGATTATAGTCTGGAATAGCACATAGGTTACTTTTAATTCCGGAAAAATATGCGGTTCCTGCAGGTTAGATTTGTTCCATAAGTTGGGCAGAGGCAGAGAACAGTTCTATATCTAGAGTTGAGTATTTATTACAATACTGTAACAGTATTATTTTTCTTATATATCATTATAATTTGGCGAGTTTTAATTTAATAGTTATTTAAATTTAAATATTCATATTTTTAATAAAAGAATGAGATTATTAAATTAAATAATTAAGTGTTTGTTACTTTAAGTCAGTGCTTGCAAGTGCTAATATTTTATATTTAATTACCATAGCTAGTGCCTAGTATTGTGTATTGTGTAAATCTATGCAACATGTGATGATGGTGTTGCCATATTCGGTTAAAAAATATTTCACCTAAATATATGGAATCAGTATAAGTCTTTTCTTTATTTTTCTATCTATGGGAATAATAAAATTCATTTAATCGATATGACAACACTCATCTATATCAGTATTAATGTGTAAAAAATAAAATTATTGTAATTTAGGAATGTCCTGAATCATTTGCTTGTATCTATAGAGCATGGGCGTGTAGATCCTCTCTGCGTCGGGATAGGGCTTCGCCACCGGCGTCACCGTCAGCTCTGAACCTGGGATTTTTAAATAATTTATTTTTATAATACTTTCTTAGATTTACGCGAATAGTTGACATTTTAAATAAAACTATCTTTTCGGATTTTTCATTGATTGAATGAAATAAAAGTATATTTTGTGTGGAATATAAGAAAAACAATTATTATATAATGAAGCATAATTAAATAGCTTTACTGTTTAACCGTAATTAAAAAAAATACAAATGTATATATTACCAGTTAACTTGACACCATTTTCCTCACTCCACACTTCAGCGGCTCTGATGGCCGCGCCCAGTAAAGCGGCATTGGCGTGTTGATCCTGGACACATTGAAGAAATTGCGTGGTGTAAACTATTTTTTAACTAGCTTTAGTCCGTGTACAATGTATAGTTAGCATATGTGCGTTCATAATATATCCTTCTTCAATGCAGCTACAGGAAAGTAGTTAATGGGCCAGAAAGTGATATATGTATTATAAATTTCTATCTAGACCGAATTTCGGCCACGGCAGCCAATGTTACTGAGTCTACTCAGCTGTGCAAGACATATTAGAGTAGAATTATTTAAAGTGTGCTTTATACTAATCACGTTATATCTGAGACACTAGAGTGTAACACTGTCAACTTCCAAACTCAAGAATTTCTTGCCCAAAAATCCCCAACTATTTTGTATTCACCCTAGACTTGAACCTAAAACCTTCATCTAGTCGTCTGTATATCCGTACACGTCAGCTAGCTAGCACTAAACCAGTGAGGATGTATAGACTACTAGCGGCTCACCCTCGCTTCGCTCGGTTCGCTTCGCTCGGTTCGCTTCGTCCCTAAGTACATTTTAACGGTTGGTATTCAATAGATAGACTATACATTATATCTATACTAATAAGGTCTCTGGATCTACTGAACCAATTTAGATGAAATTTAATAAGAAGATAGTTTGAGACTCTGGGAAGGATATAGGATAATTTTTATCCCGGAAATCATCCCTTAAGGGGGTACAAATGGGGATGAAAGTTTGTATTAGGAAGCAAGCTAGGGACGAACCCAAGCGAAGCGGGGATGAATCGCTAGTATTCATACATAGATATGATGAGTTGTGTGGGTTAAATTATAACATGTTTTCCCGTGGGAAAGAGATAATCTCTCGCGGTAAAAAGTAGCCTATGTCACTCCAGCCCTCAAACTATGTCCACACAAAAATCACGCCAATGGTGGATTCAACGTGAAAGAAGGACAAACAAACACACTTTCACATTTATAATATTAAGTATCGATATTCTACCTGCACATAGACGGGCGTGTTGAAGACATCCGCGAAGATCTGCAGCAGGGCAGTGTTGACGGAGGCACCGCCCGTCGCCACCACGCGCGACGACGGATCTACGCATTCATATAGATATTAAGACGTCTTTCTCAATACACAAAAAAACATAATTCTTTACCATTTCGTATAAAACTGTTGCTTATACTTATTTACAGTTCTTCAGATTGATTCAGTTCATTTAAAAATGTGTTTTTTAGGGTTGGATGGCCGGGGCATTTTATTTATTAAAGAAATAAAGATATCGGCATATATATGACGACACGTTTAGCTCAGTTTGTAGTGACCAGTTTGTAGTGACCCTGCTTGCTGTACCAGCGGTCGCAGGTTCGAATCCCATGAGCACGAATGGTTGTACTCCAGTCATGGGTGTTTATATTTATAATATGTATGTATCTAAAGTTTTATATTTGTAGTGTATCAACTATCTGGTATCTGTAACACAAGCCTCGTAGCTTACCATGGAACTAGATGGTGCAGTGTTAATGTCCCAACATATAATAATAATAAATCAGTATAAAATGTTTTATTTAGCTAATTAGGTAACAATTTATGACGAAGTTGTTGAATAGATACTTCCATAGACACAAATAGGTACTGAATAAATTAACCGACTTGGTTTTACATTAAATATAACAACTTGTTATGTTTTTGATGGGATTACAATTATACCCGTCAACCCTAAAGCCGTTTCCCGACTTTCATATAATAATACAGTCATGCAAGACAGTCGGCACACTATTTATCTGTCTAGACGTCTTCATTAGATGACTGTATGGACTAGTAGACTGACATATCGTTGGCTCACTATTACAAGGTTCTATGTTAATTTTAATGAAGTTTAGTAATTTGACTTTAAAAATTTTGACTAATGAAAAATGTATACTTATTAGTCCTAATTTCTAAGTGACACTTTATTAGCATAATTAAGGGCTACGTGATGCTTTCTAGGAACTAACAATTGGATATTGACTTGGATATTAAGCAATATTATCGAACTTAAAATAACATAGAACTTTGTGATACCAAAAAAATATTTTTATTTATTTTAACTAGAACTTAGGATTTTGTTTCATTGAAATAAGTAAAAGATATTAGTTTATGTCCAAGTTAAGTATTAATTTTCTTGAGTCATCTGAACTATTATAATATGTTATCATGTCTCAGTACCATTAAAAAACATTACTTGTACATATTATGTGAAATTTATTATCATAAAAAATGGTTTACACTTTGAATATTGTCTCATAGAACTCCTTGTCCACTGTAGGCATCCATCGATACATAGATTTTGCTGTGTGTGAACATCTAAAGCTCACTTCAAATCTATCTATACTATAATAAAACTGTAGAGGTCGAATGTCTGTACATAGAACAAAAATGCTAAAAACCGATTCAGTTTGTCTGTTTGTACGAGCTAATCTCTGAAACTATTGGACCGATTTAAGTGAAATTTTGCATGGTGGTAAGTTATATCCCGGGTCAACATCTAAGATACTTTTCATTCAGGAAAATTAAGGAGTTCTCGTGAGATAGTTAAAAACTATAGTAACTTATACAGCTTAGTACACAACAACTTATGCACCTAATTTAGTAAAATTTGGCATGCTGATACCTTATATTGCCGGTCTAACAACAAGTTACTTTTCGTTCCGGAAAAATTAATGGGATATACCTGTTTGTGCTTTTCTAGAGGCGAACCCGAGCGAAGCGAGGGTGAGCCACTAGTTGTAAATAAAACTCTAAGCATAAAACTCTAAGCAAGGTCCTCTGTTTAACATAGAACCTTGCTATCCTAAAAAAAAGCAAATATTGAATGGTTCTATGTTTAACATAGAACCTTGCTATCCTAAAAAACTATAAAAACCAAAATTGAATGGTTCTATGTTTCACATAGAACTTCGTTGTTTTGTGATTTTAAAAAAAACAACATAGAACTATGTAAAATTGAATATTTTTTAGGTATAGTGCTGCTATCTAGTGGTTTGTTTTTGCAAAACTGTAGCTAATGACACAAATAACCTTGTAGCATTCATAACTACATAAGTACTAAAATTGTAACATAGAACCTTGTAATATTGAGCCAACGAATTATGTATATAATATGCTATATATGTCTCACCGAGTACGAAGCCCATCTCCTCCGCATGCGCCCTCCTGGCGAGCGCCTGTCCCTCGAGCAGCGCGCGCGCCTCGAACTGCGGCGCCGCGCGCTGCAACGCCGCGCCGCCCTCGCGCAGCCAGCGCCCCGGCGCCGCGCGCGGGACTATCTCCGCCGTGTCGTAGTAGATACCTGGCAGTGAGGCAGGCAGTCAGTCGGTCAGTGAGTTAGTGCATAAGTGATTGAATGAGTAAGTGATTGAGTCATTGAATGAGTGATGGTATGAATGAGTGAGTGAGTGAATAGATTAAATAGAATACACAGTGGAAACCCATTCACAATGGTATCGCTTGGAAAACTAAGTGAAGCGTGTTTGAAACCGGATCTCGCATCTTTAATATTTTCTTTGGCGAATCATTGCCAAGATCATTTCCCTTACGGCTTTACGGTGAGATAAAACTTCATGAGAAAATCTGCATGTCTAAGAGAATATAACTTGGCCAGCGTGGTGGACGTTGAAGCGAAGTCCGTGCCAGCAGTGGGACGTTGACATTTAAAAGTCCTCACCGATTTTGACTATGGCAGGCAACTCAACTGGGACCAACCATTTATTAAAATCATATTTTTCCAACTACAGTTTTCTTATTACTACCTACATTTATGTACCTAATACTAATGTAACAATTGATATTGGCCTAAGCAATGTGTTTTTGCCATTATACATAGTTTAGATATTATAATGTTTTTGAGACACATGAAATAAATTTATATATGAGTACATATAATAATTAATAATAATTGATAATAATAATTATAAACATACAATAATTGCTCATTTAATAATATAAGATATTATAATATTCACTCACCCATATACCCCATATTCCCTCTGACGGTAGCTTGGAGCAAATCATTGAATGCCTCCCAACTTGGACCAACGAGCCTATCTCTGTGGTTCTGTCGCGTTAGGGATCCATTGGCGAAGCACAACAAGGCCATATAGGGTGCGCTTGTAGGGCCCACAAGTACGTGTCCTGCTAGGGGCGCTGCGGGTGCCTGAAGCCCTAGCAGTAGTGTGTCACTTGTGCCGAGGCTAAGCCCTACCCAGCCGGAACGGAGGCGAAGCCCTAAGTGAAATAAAAAAGATTTGGTATATACGGTATAAAATGTTTATGTATATATTTATATGTACGTATATATTTATATAGTTTTGGTATGTATTAGGTTACATGTTTATATTATATATCTATAATTGTATTTATGTATTTATGTTATATAATATGTATTTAATTAAAATATGTATATGTTTTTTATATTTTCATATATGTATATTATTGTATTCATATATTTAACTTTTATTTATGTGTCATACTTATATACTTTACTATAACAAAAATTCTGCACTTTCTCTTTCTGTCCCGCTATTTAACACTATTTCCCACATGCATGGGTTGACTGGAAGAGATCTCTTATAGAGATAAGTCCACCTTTGTCCACATCACTTTCTATGTATTTTGTTTTTTATAATTTATTTGTGCAATAAAGAATACATAAAAAATGATATAGATAGACATACATTACTTTATACTTTTTAACCAATACTTTATATTTTATGTCATTTAAGAGATTGATTGCACTTTTTGTTATATTAATTTATATAATTTATATTTAATAACCTTTCAAATGATTTCTGTTTGATAAATAAAATAGCAAAAAAAAAAAAGAAATTTAAAACCCCTAGTGAATTAATTAAAACAATGTGTCTTTCCTAAACAAACTAATATCTTAATTTACCAATCTTATTATCGTTAATTTACCAATAACTATATAAACCTGGCATGGATACATAAGATTTAAAAACATTATTGAAAAACAAATCTCAAAAAAAATACTGGTTTTCATAGAACTTGAAATATTTAATGTTTATATGAAAAATAATAATTTTCATGCAAACAAAATTAGGTTGCTAAATGCTATTCTTTCATAAAATCTATGAAGAAACCAATTAAATTCAAATGTGAGTAATCTAGTGTTATCTTATCTTACTTGAAGCGTGCAGCTCTCAAGATAGCAATTTACTAACCATTATGTACACTTACTTCAGATTATTTAGATAACATATAAATATTTGACTTGACTAAGAAGGCAGATATCAATAAACATTATAGTAGAATTTCATATCTGTATTATTGTTGTTGGTTGCTTTTTTAATTTTATAAGTAAAACCTTTACACTTATGTAATTCTACATATCTTTATCTATGTATTATGTTAGTCTAGTAAAAATCAATGTCATATATTTGAGTTTATATTTTGAACTACTACTTATTTTATTACTAGAGGCTCACCCTCACTTCACTTGGGTTCGTCTCTAGAAAAACAAAAATAAACCTATCTCACGGGAACCATATACTTTTCCGGGATAAAAATTAGCCTATGTGTTATTACACACTATAATCTATCTCCGTGCCAAATTTCATCCAGATCCGTTCAGCTGTTCTGACGTGAAAGAGTAACAAACATCCATACTTACAAACTGTCAGATTTATAATATTAGTATAGATTTAAGTAGCAACTCACCCCTGCTTCGTTCGGGTATCGTCCCTAGGTACGTTTTAATGGTTAGTATGGAAAAGATAGACTATATATTATATGATACATAGTCTATAGTCTTTTTCAATAAACGGGCTATCTAATGCAAAAATAATTTTTCAAATCGATATACTAGTTCCTGAGATTAACGCGTTCAATCAAACAAATAAACAAACAAACTCTGCTTCTTTATAATATTAGTATATAGGTAGCATAAAAGAAAAAGAAGATTGTAGCATAAAGTCAAAATAAATAATTTTCGTTACCAGCGAGTGCTGAGCAATTATCTCCAGTGAAGGCTACCACTTTGCAGTCTGATCTAAACCCGTAACGTTGGATGTAGTATGGTGATATAGTTCCGACTACAGACGCAGAGGGTACAGGATCCCCCAGCTTCTCTTTTAGAGTTTCATCTCCACATGCCTACAAACAAATTAAGTGATATGGATTTTATATGTACACAACCAAACTATAACATACTGATTTAATGTTAATTATCATTTACAATTAGTGTATTTAAGCTCTATTATTGATAAATAAAGCAGTAACAAAGAAATAAACTAATTTCAACATTTATAATTATAAATAAATTAATTATAATTAACCAACGACTCACCATCACTTTGCTTGGGTTAGAAGACCCTAGGTACGTTTCAACAGTTAGTATGGAATAGATAGACTTATATATTACATATATACGAGTATGATAAGTTATTGTGGGTTGTATTATAACGTGTTTTGCCATGGGAATGAGATAATCCCTCACAGTAAAAGTAGCATATATGACTTTCTAGCTCTCAAACTATCTCTACACAAAAAATCACGCTATCATTCTGTTTCAACATGACAAAAGGATAAACAAACAAACAAACACATTTTTACATTTATAATATTAGTATCAAAGTATGGATATTATTAAGGGAAAAATCAATATTATTTGTCAACTTGACATGATATACCTTCAAAGCTTGCTCACACCACTTCATACTATGTATATCGAGGAGATTCATTCCAGATCCATCAGATAAATCAATAGGTGCAATTTTTCCAATAAACAATGAACATGCAAAGGAAGACACAAGTGATATTCTCTCTGTGGCGTGATAAGCTCGAGATCGGGTCCTGTACATTTTTCTTATCTGTACACCTGTGAAACGTTCATATGCTCTGGATCCTGTAATTTTTGCTAATTCCTAAAAAAATATTTTTTATATATTGCCATTATAAAGAAGTTTAAAATTATATTTTTTTTTTGTAAATAAATCATCTCTTATTATAGTTTTATAAAGAATAATATGTATGACTGTAAAGAAGACATTTGAGAAGCAACATATCAGTTTAACTTGTTTTATCAATAAGGCCACCTCTTATACATAATCTTTTTTGTATTTATTTATTTTTTCTTGGTGTACAATAAAGAGTTTATTATTATATTAGAATGTAGAATATAAAAAAGTAAAAAATACCTCAGGACCACCAACTGCCTCTTCCAGAGCTCTACAGTCATCACTGGTACTAGAATCCATCCATACTGGAGAATCAACTACAAAACATGTAGCTAATTGAGTATGTAAAAAATGGTCACCAGACAATTTGGCTAACTTAGCTTCTGAACCCTTTGCCCACCACACTGAACCATGTTGCTTAAAAAAACAGTTTAATATGACATCGATAAAATTCAGTAACCTAATAAATAATTTTATTATTTATAATGAAATATTTAGACCAATTAACACAAGATGGAAGTAATTAGATAAACAAGCAAAAAGGTGAACAGAAAAGTGAATTGTTGAACTTATTATGGAGTGAAATTTAACAAACAATCTTTGCATAAATTATTTCATACCTGTGCTGCACCAGATAAAGCTTCAACATTGGAAAAATCAACTCCAGCAACGATTAGTTTATCCATCACCATATCCAATGCTTTTACCCATAACAGTGTTGGTGATGTCACCTCACCATGCTCCCCTCGAATAACACCCCCCGCTGTTCTGTAATATGAAAATTCATTAAAATACTATGAAGAAATTAACATATTTTTAATGAAAAGTAATAGGTACTTTCGTAAATGAATTTTAAGTGAAAGAAAAGAAATAAATAGCTAACCTAAACTCAGGGAGTTCCACATCAAATTCAACATCTGCTTCTTGTTGTACAACATATTTTTCATCAATAACTATAGCTTTTAACTGAAAATTAAAATTAATTAGTGTACAAAGTATAAGTATTTTTTTTTTACAGTTGTATTGTTTTTTTTTAATCTAATCATATTACAAAAACACATTAAATTAATTAAATTATTGTCGCATGCGCTAGATCTTTTACTTTCACAAAGTAATTTATCGTTATTATTGTTCTATGATAAGGTCCGATAAATTCACTGCCAAGGTTCTTATTGGTTCATTTTATATTTAATAAATAATTTATCTAAAAGTTTATTTAATTATCACATTTTGAGAGTAGTAATGACTAAATAGGGGAGTCCAAAACTTTTAAAATAAAAACTAAGTTAATAATAATTGAATGTGAAACATTAAAAAATCGTCATGGATATCAGAGTTTTATTGAAAAATATTTGTAAATAAAAATCTCACCCTTTGAGTGCTAAAATCAAATCCCAAAAAAGTTTTTTTTCGCGTTTCTTCAATCATTTTTTGAGTTTGACAATTTAGTATTTACTTTGACAGAGTGCGTTCAAAAACTGGCGCACCGACTTTCTGTATATCGTGACTAAATGATGTTTATTAAAATTATAACGCGATTATGTACAAGATATCTCCACGTTTTATATTTTATTACTTTTGAGGAATCTCATTATGATTATAGTTTTTGTTTAACGTAATATGATAAAACAAATGAAGGTTGTTATTATTCAATTTTCGATAACAATGATAACCTGTGTAGTCGCAAATCTAAATAACTAACGTAAGAAAATAAATAATGTTATTAGTAAGTAGTATAACTAGCGACTCTCCCTTGCTCTGCTCAGGTGTTTCCCTACTTACGTTTTAACATTTAGTATAAATTTCTCAGAGGTGAAATATTTTAACCGTAGTAAAAAGTAATTTATATCTTGACCCGGATAGCCGGATTATCCCAGCTATCATCATACCAAGTTTCATCAAAATCCCTCCAGTGGTTTTTCCGTGAGCGGTCACAGACAGATAGACAGAAAGACAGACAGACAAACATTCTAAAAACTATAGATTCGGCCTCTGTATCGAAAATAATGTCTATTTCAATAAGATTTTCCAAAAAAAATAATTTAAGTTCCGATTCGGCTTAATTACAATTTTATTATATGTATATCGGTACTTTTCATTCAATTTATTATATAATATACCTACCTACCTACGTTAAAAATTAAGTAAGTCCGTCATAAGTAAATATATTTCATTGTATTCAGTAGAAAGAAAAAAAAAACGTAAATATGAACTATTCTCGAACTAGGTATAAATATCTAGTATCAAGAATGTTTTTGACTGACAAAAACTGTCTGTTGCTTTATTATAACGGAGTGAGTGAGCACCGTTATTTCGCACGCTAACAATGATGCGTCACTGCATTCTAAATCCATTTCTATTCCTAATTACCACTTATCTTTTGCACTAAACATTTATTACATAATAAAAAAATACGATAGTAGTTGAAGAGTTATGGTCCGGATTTCTTGGACAGCATTCATTACAAACTTATCCATCCTCACAGAGCTTTGATATTGCTGCATTCTGAAATATTTGAACAAAACATCAAGGTGCATATCAAGAAAAGTTTAAAGTACCTACCTAGTTAGTTTACTTTAGTTAACGTCGAGGGTAAAAGTTCACGGAGTGGATCTGATTTAAATAGTTTAAAGAATACGAAATAGGTGAATTCGAAACTATTGTCCGAATTGCCGCTGATCGGAATTGATGGAAACATCTTATATTCTAATAGATTACCTATATTTAGTCATTGCACTATTTAATTTTGATACTATATTATTCGACGACACGTTTGGCTCAGTTTGTAGTAACCCTACTTGTTGTGCCAGCGGTCGCGGGTTCGAGTCCCGCTGGGGGCATTCATTTGTGTGATGACTACGAATGCTTGTATTCCAGTCATGAGTGTTTATATTTATAATATGTATGTATTTAAAGTTATATGTATGTAGTGTATCAACTATCTGGTATCCATAACACAAGCCTCGTAGCTTACCATGGAACTTGATGGTGATGTGTATTAAAGTCCCAAAATATTTTTTTAAAGTCAAAAATATAAACTAGATATTTTTTCTCCATAACTTTGCTGATACAAGTTCAGCCAATCTACGTAGAAAGCAATTTCAAAAAATGAAAAGTAATATGGCTAATACCAAAAGCTTACGGGAAACAATAGGAAAGTCACTTATTATATTTTAGAATAATATTAACCGCAATTACATTATATTAGGTAGGTACATAATTTATGAAATTATAATCGTTTTCCTTTTGGATATCTCAGTTTAGATAATTTGCTATATTAAAACATTCAGGTTCTGCAGTTCTTCTATGTTTTTAAATAAAAGATTAACTAGTATTCATGGAACCTCGAAATCGATATTTAAAATTGTGTAATAATAAAATTTTTGGCATTTACTGGGGTGAGGCTATTCATCAGGCAACAACAGGGACGGGTGACGTATAAATAGCGCAACGAGCCAGCCGTGGTTTTCCGACCGATTACATCCACACCCTTATCGTCAATGCTTTTGGTACTAGATATTTTGAGCAGTTACATGGTCACTTGGTTTTTTAAATTATTAAGAAAAAACTGACATAATTTAGGCAGGGTTTAAATTACGTGTTGGCCGCCATTTTATGCATAGATGAATAACCAAGAGCTTTTTAGAATATTCGTAATAATACTTAAGGTATATAATAGCGCAGATATTTAAAAGTTACTGTTATCTGATATCATCAAGTTCATCTTTGCATTAAAGTGGTGATAGGTTATGAAGCATGTTGACGAATAAGGCAGGTTGAATTGCTTACTAGTTTCACCAGGGAATGGGAGGTAATTTTTTTTTTTTTTAAATAAAACTTCTCGTGGCTGAGGAGTAAGTCGATACATTGTATTGCATTGAAAAAATGAGTGTCGCCGAAATGAGACTTAAATTTATTATTAATAATTAAAAAATATATATTATATTTATACTTTTATAATAATTATTATTATAAAAATGAATATATACCTACTACTGTGGGATGGATGTGCATAAATTAAATAAAAGCTATAATACCTAGACTAATTTGTGAAGTTTGAATAATAGAAACAATGAGTGAAAGGGAGAGAGTGAGACAGGGAGAGAGGGACAGAGTGCCTTCGGCCATGTTGAATGATAAAGTTTTAGTTTTAAAGAAGGATGAAATTGCAAAGGCATAATAAACTATTGAAAAATTAATAAATATGTATATTAAGATGATTGTGGTGTGGTGGTTTTATTGCGGGTATCCTTGAAGATTGATCCCACATTAGGTACTAATAATTTTAAAAAATATATTATATTAATTATACTTAATTTGTTTTAATTTAATTGTGGTATCTGCCACAGCGCCAAAGAAGTAGTTTTACTTCAATCGCGCGTAAAGGTTACACGCACTTATTTTTTAAATAAATACCTACATATAGTAAGTAACTATTTGTTATTTTTAGTCAAGGTTTAATTTTTAACCCCTTGAATAAGACCCGTAATGTTTTTTTGTTTATTGCAACAAAAACATATTATTTTATACTAGCGGCTCACCCTAATTGAGACACTAACAGAGATCTATTAGTTCCCATGGGAACCGTTCATTTTACCGAGATGAAAAGTAACCTGTTGTTTGACCGGCAATAAAAGGTATCACAATGTTAAATTTTACTAAATTAGGTGCATAAGTTGTTGTGTACTAAGCTGTATAAGATAATATAGGTTTTTAACTATCCCATGGCCTGGCGACGGTGGGTGCGATTCATCCGTACCTGTCTCGCTGGGTCAGGAGGCCACACGGCGTCCTGACGTTCAGGCTGACGCAGATGCTTACCGGGCACGGGTGCTTCGGTAAGTATCTGTTTCAGATTGCACGTCGGGAACCGTCGCCCGTATGCCACGAGTGTGGTGCGTCCGAGGACACGTCGCACCACACCCTCGTGGTATGCGCCGCATGGACTCCCCAGCGCCATGCCCTGATGGCGGTAGTGGGTGGAGACCTTTCGTTGCGAAGCGTGGTGGGGGCCATGCTACGGGACGCAAGGTCCTGGTCGGCGATGGTCTCCTTCAGTGAGACCGTCATCTCACTGAAGGAGACGGCGGAGAGGGAACGCGAGGCTAACGCCTTAGCAGACCCTCTTCATCGCCGTCGGCTGGGGGGGAGGAGGCGCCGGTATGCGCATCTTCTCCCGCCACCCTAGAGGAGCTACCACGGGGGGGTCTCTCGTTGACTCCCCTGCACGTCATCGGGGCGGTCGGGATGCCCTGCGAACCGAGGGCATCCTGATTTAGGCGAGGCTGGCCCGCGTGGTACGGGCCGTCCGCAGGGGTGTTGCAGTGAGTGCGAAAGCGATCCTGCACGCCCCATTGCACTGCGGCGAAGGGTTCCGCTGTGGGTTTTAGTGAGTAGGGGTCTCACAGTACCCTGCCCATGACGGCGGCAGGGTCCCCATGATGGGTTTCCCCAGCGAAAACAAAAAAAAAAAGGTTTTTAACTATCCCGCAAGAAATCTTTCATTTTCTGGGATGAAAAGTATCTAAGATATTGACCGGGGATATAAGGTGACACCATGCAAAATTTCATTTAAATTGGTCCAAGAGTTTCGGAGATTCGCCCGTACAAACAGACAAGACAGAGAAACAAAAAAAATTGAAAAAATCTGGATTTGTTCTATTTTTCTTCTTACGAGATGTAAGAAGATAACTGACTCGGTTTATAGCATTTTTTTTCTATGTACAGACATATTATTCGACCTCTACAGTTTTATTATATTTATAGATAGACTAAATAACGTATAATAAAACAGTAATATATAATAATGAAAATAGTCATAGCGAGTGTACCTTAGGAGATAGATATATACTATTCAGAACTTTTCTGTAGGACTTTTCAACACCTACAATTTTTTAGTATATTGTTTTGATGTATGTATGGCTTAAGGTTTAGCCAGCGGAAGGTTTCTAGGGAGGACTCGATAAAACCAGTTATTGTATCTTCCCGTGAGAAAAAAAGATTTTCTTGAAGTAAAAGGTATCCTAAACGTTGACTCGAGTAATAAGTTATCACTTCACCAAATTTCGTTGAAATCGGATCATTACTTTTCGCGTGAAACGCGCATACAAAAACAGACAAACAGACATTTTGTCTGTATGTCTATTTTTGTATGCAAAATTTCATTTAAATCGGTCCAATAGATTCGGAGATTAGCCCGTACAAACAGACAAACAGAGAGAGAAACAAAAAAATTTAAAAAAATCTAGATTTGTTCTATTTGTCTTCTTACATCCCCCTGACTCGGTTTTTTGCATTTTTTTGCTATGTAGAGACATTCGACCTCTACTCTTTTATTATAGTATAGATAGCACGATTCGATATTTAAAATACTCTTTATTCAATAATCTAGTGACACTTGTGTATAAGTTGCATGTGTTCGATGTATATGATATGAGTTTTTGCTAATTAGAGCTAGCTATTCGTCAGATTTCTTACATGATGTATCCATACTAATATTATATATGTGAAATTGTATTTGTTTGTTTGTTTGTTTGTTTGTTTGTTTGTTTGTTTGTTTGTCCTTCTTTCACGTCGAAACAGAAGGACGGATTGGCGTGATTTTTTGTGTGGAGATTGTTATAGGGCTGGAGAGTGAGTGATAATTTTACCGCGGGCGATTATCTCATTCCCACGAGAAAACACATTATAATACAACCAAAAAAATATTTATGACCAGAATTACTTGATTTTTGGTATTAATGCCCTTTAATACAAACGTTTTTAGTTTTTATTAAATAAAAACGTTTTTTGCATTTTTGAAATTCATCACATAAGAGGGTAAAATAGAAGATGAAAGTTTGTATGAAACCTACCTTTTTCGGGTTTTTATTTTATTTTTGCGCGAGCGAAGCCGCGCATTCTGATAGTAATAAAATAAAAAATATATCGCTAATAAAAGTGCTCACATTTTAATTTCTTTTAACACACTTTTGCATACGCTGTTATGTTTCATTTGTAATTATGTTATCAAGTCTTGGAAGTTGGACCTCTGTTTAATTATTAGTGTATCGCTTTAATACCTAAGTAACTTTTGACTGGATTAATATAAATACCATTGAGCTGTTCTGATGTTGAAACCAGCTGTATAATGGAACTCATTAAACGATATTAGATACATAAATACAGTAAAACCGTCGTGTTTGGATTCATTCAACTCATTTTGACAAGTTCTATTCATCACGTGAATAACGCCGAAAGTATAATTAATTAGGCTTAACGGTTAAACAAAGAAACATTAACAAATTTGTATAAAAAATAATGAACCATAAAGAGCTACTAGCACTAAGAAAATTAACTTAATTGCTGTTGGAGGCAAGCTCCATGATAGAGAATTATACGAAATTTGCAGGTATATGCGCGTGGCCTAGCCACCGGTAGCATGGATTCTTCTTCCACCATGAGTGAAAATGATATTTTTATTATTTTTAAAATACGTATTTTTTATAAATAATAACTGATATTTCTGATTTTATTTAAAATATTTGTAATTTTTTTATAATCAACGTCTTAGACGATGACATCGTAGACCTTGACATTGTCATTATTTACCAAAAGACGTCCACTTTTTAATATTGCTTCAATATTCAAAAAAAATCTTAAAAACTCATCAATAAATAAAGAAATGTAATATTATTTATGATATTATTTTTTTATCTTAGAAGTCTTGCATGGGGACACCGGTACAACACGTAGAGGTCCCTTATAGCTTATAAGTTATAGGATATTTAGAATTGTTTAATGTACCGATAAAAACCCTTAGAAAAATAACAAATATAATCAGCGGCCAAAACCACACTTTCTCCTTTATTCTATTATTTACATACCGTATTCAACTTTTGGCGAACAGTGACGCACTTACCACAAGATTAACCCCTACAAATTGGAGTCATATCTCAGGCGCAACATCAACGTGGTCAATTGTTCAGAGTTTGTCGAGAGGTGGGCATTGGTTGCAACTTGCAACATTACTAGCATGTTCACCCGTTATTACCCAAATTAAGCATTTTGAACCTATCGAGCACTTTAAGCTTGCGCTACACATTGAACGGCCAATACACTAGAGAAAGAAGGAAAAGAAGAGATTTTGAATATTTTTTTTCGCTCCGTGATATCGCCAGCTATAATCATCTAATCACTATGCCTACGGGCTATTAGTGTTTTTCTAGTCTCTATGTATATTTGTGGTCCTTTTCTGCATAACAATATAAAATACAATATTGTAAATTGAAATATTTATAAGTACGTACGATTAAGTAGGTATGAGTATTTCATACTAATCGTCATAGAGTCAATTATCTTAAAGTGGATAATGTAGGGCAACATTATTATTACAATTTCACTTGAAATACTTATAATATCAAGTTATGTTTTACTAAAAGGTGTATACTATTATGGTTTTTCTACTTTTCTTTCCGTTGACATCGTACAATGCTAAATTTTTTACCCCATACGAGAATCGAACTCGAGACCAGATAAAGTAAATATTGGTTTGCCATCATTGAATTACAGATCAGAGATTAATTCACGATCCAGTATGAATAGTCAAATCAGTAGAATGTAGAATACGTAATGTAGAGCGAATCGTATTCTCCTATATTTCGTTTGAAAGTAGGTAGTGAATAGTGTCAATAGTGTTGATCGGCGCAGCTGCGTGGCGCTGGCGTCCGCCGGGCGCCGGAGGATGCTGCCTGAACCTCCTGATATTGTAAACAAGAGCTTTTTCGATTGGAGGCGGCTAGGCGCACGCGCGACACGCTGTGAACTTGTTAGGACGTACGCTTAGTGTTTTTTGTTTTGCTTAATAGAAATAGCCTAATTATTAATAAGTATATTTTGTTTTTTTTAAATACCTAGTCTATATTAGAATGATCTTGTTAAGTTCTTTTATTATTGTATTAATAATAACGATTTATAATACATAGGATGTTTGAATAATGATGTATACTCATACATATAATATATGTATATTTCAGTAAGATTTATATATCGATATGCTTTCAGTAACTATTTGTAAAATATAATTTTCATTTTAATTTAAAAGATATCCTAAAGATATCCAATATAGTATCACTATATCTATACCTACCCATACAATTTGCAAAAACACATTGTGAAAATAGTAAATACCAGGTTTTTAGTATTACATGTGTAAATGAAGAGTGTAGGCATTTGCACATGTTGTAGTTTCAAGTGATGTTTCATTTAGTTCATTTAGGATACAATTTCTGATAAAGAAATCGATCGTGAAGGACGTCTGATCAAGGTTAGCGCGTGTGCAGATCGAGCGGCGGCGGGTGAGCGGCGCGGGCGGGGATCGCGCGTGCGCGGGGCGGGGTGGGCGCGGGCGGCAGACGCGCCGCGATGGTGGGCCGCGACAGCCGCTCGAAGAGCGCGGCGCGCCCCTTGGCGCCGCGGCATGAGTAGCGCGCCAGCCCGGCCCGGCCCGCGCGCCCGCCATGGCGCAGGCCGCGCCCGCGCCCCAACGCACCCACTCCTTCGCAAAGAAGACCTTCCACAAGCCCACCTACTGCCACCACTGCTCGGATCTGCTGTGGGGGCTCATCGGGCAGGGCTACGTCTGCGAAGGTACGCGCCGCGCATGCGCCCCGGGCGCGTCGATACCGCCCGCGCGCTTCGCACGACCAGCGTTATGCAACCCACCCGGGCGTGTCTCGCACCCTTAGATCCTCCCAAACCTTCGACCTCCAGATCCTCACCTGCAACTCGTAAGATCCCGCATCATAGACCTCTGAACCTATATCTTTCCCTCTAGTATACCGAGACGCCATCGTTTCGACCACGACCTTCACCTTAACTTTGAAGAGCCAGTGTTCTATTCGGTCACTTAAAAATCTAAAATTCCCCAACATTATTCATCCTCATATAAAACTTACTTCACCTAAAGTCCTATTTAAGGATAGAAGGCAGCCAAAGATCAGAAATCAGCTGAAAAAGTAACGTGACGGCGAAATGAGTGAACGTTTATATCGATCGATCTGTTTTGTATGAGGTTTTTTCCTAGCGGCGCGGGGCGGGGCGTATCTCCTCCCGGCCCTAGACGTGGTGATCTCGATCTCCTAGTTAAGCTCACCGACTGGTAAGTGACGATCTCTACTTGGGCCTGGATGTTCGTTTAGAAGTGACTCTCGGAAGATACCCGTACATGGGCGTAGCATTAATAAGAGCCCTGACATTCTATGCGCGGAGTAATATCCTTTAAGATTGAAACGTGGAACGTCACTATTTCATTCTAAGTTAATCATGAAATATGTTTTTTTAAATAATATACCATTTTAATATTCATAAAATATAATAAATAATGTTATACGTATACATATATATGTATATACTAATTACGACGTTAATATTTGGCCTCCTATACTTTTATATATGGCAGATATATAGATTCTGAAATTCAATTTTAAATATTTCTAGTCGTTATTTAGTTTGTTCAAGCATTTTTATTGATATTCCAATAACATTATGTGTATATTATATCATAATTTACAGATAAACTGTATAAAATAGTCCTTATAAAAGTAAAGTAAGAAAACGGGATATGAGCTTTCCTGCCTTTGAAAAGTTTCCGCAATTGGTAGCTTACTCAGATGATTTTTGCTACAAACTAAAAACTTCGAAATAGATTACAGATTCCATTAATTTAGAAGATATATTAAAACAAATTATTTTATATTTAGCAAAAGATTCGAATCGTGTTCATTCAATAAAGCATTATTTTAATCTTAATTATATATCCTTTTAACAACCACAATTCTGCAACAAATATTTGGGCAAGTTTTCCTCATATTGCATTGTTTTAGTTGACGTAATATTATACTTATAGATAAGTTACTACCGAATGCAGCGGTACGATGGCGTCGCGTAACTACTCGTACAATATTGATTACTTCACTTTGAGAGAAAAACGACGCGTCTGAGATGCTTATACGCGTGAATTGGCAAAGTAGTTGGAAAAAATAATCTTATTCGTTCGTTTATTAAGTAATAGGTGAAATTGCATCAAAATATCTACGCTAATATTATAAAGCGGTAAAAATTTTAAATTTGTGAGTTAGATGAATTTTAGTACCTATATGAAGATAATTTGTGATCCTGGGAAGGAAATAGTGTTTTTATCTCGGAAATCATCCCTTAAGAGGTTGAAAATGATGATGAAAGTTTTTATGGAGAATCAATCAGTTGTCAAGTAAGAGATATAAAACACATTATACTTATATATGTATGTATTTACTTACTATAGTCTACCTATTCCATATTAATCGTTAAAACGTACCTAGGGAAGAGCCCGAGCGAAGCAAGGGTGAGTTGCTAGTTATAATAATACAATAAAATGTTTATTTTTATAAGAAAATATCAATAAAAAGAATCTTAATCTATCTACTTAACGCATTAAGGAGTTTTTAAAAGTTTAATCTAAGGAGAACTAATTGGAAAACTAAATTGTTATGAAGAATTAAGTCTTTAATTAAATAATGAAATAAGTTTTTTTTTAATTTGGCAAGAAACAAGTATGTCAGGACTGTGAAGCACAAATTTATAAACTATGTTTTTAATAGTAAGTAGGTCTTATTAAAAGTAGACTGTGGCATATTTAAAATTACTAGAGTTCACCTAATGGTCGAAATTCGACATAATGATTATTGAAAATTTGAAGAAAATACATGTATATGAATAGAATTCACCTATCTACATAAAAATTAACTTTTTCCAATTTTTATTGATAACACAAAAGCTTATTAAAAGCTACTAAACTAAAAAAGATCTGTTGATAAACACGGAAAAATAAAGGTACTAAAATAAAGGTAATAGTTTGAATGTTAAAGATTGTACAGATGAATTTACAAACTGAATTTCTTGAACACTATTAAATTTAGAAGTCCAATATCTACGAGTACGAGGTAAAGTCAAAACAGTTCATGTTTTGACTTTACCTCGTACTCGTAGATATTGGACTTCTAAATTTAATAGTGTTCAAGAAATTCAGTTTGTAAATTCATCTGTACAATCTTTAACATTCAAACTACCCAATACAAAGTAAACGAAATACCTACCCTCTAAAACTTGCATTGGCATCAAGTATTAGATGTCTTCTGAAATCATTAATGGTTTTAGATCTCCTTTTTGTAGTCTTGAATTTTAACTACGAGTTTATATTAACATTGTTTTTCGCCAACTTGCTCATTTTATATTCATCAGTTTTAAAGTTTTTTGTATTTATTACATGTATCTCGAAAAAAGTTTAAGTTTTAATATGTACATTGACCAATCCATAAACTTCTTTAAATTTAGCTTTGGTAAATCTAGTATCTAGTTGCGTATTGTGTTCTTCTACGTAATCAGACACGTATAATGTCTTTCTAAATGATTGTGATCGGAGGCTAAAGCGAGCTATTAGCACAAAAAATGCGCGTTGCTTTTAAAAACCAGCGCTCTTTCTCTCCCCATTTAGTCTGGAACAGAACCTAGGACTTTGCGCATTTATGTGAATAAGCTATCCTTTAGAGCACGAGGCGGTTCCTATGGACATCTATCTTGTCACTGTGTAGGGCTATACAGACTAGAACTAATAATTGTTGAACTGGAGCCAGAGTTCTATATCTATTTGTAAATTGAAATATACGAGAGTAAAATATTAGGTAATTGGTAGAAAATAGTACTTTTTTATATCTTTAAATATTAAACCGTGCAAGAAGTTATTGACAACAAAAAAGGTCTCCTTCGACAAAATAATTCTTTAGTGTCCCAATTAAAGCTGCTTAAGTTATCGAAATTATATTTTGATGTATGTATATTGCCTAAAATATGTGTACTTTACATACCCATAGACATTTGGAACTACAATGTCTGAAGTAACTTTTTTATGACAATTAAAATAACCAGTAATTGGGAAACTGTCTGCTGTCATATCATGAAAAACAAAAATATATGTATCTCATTGTCAGACACAGTAAATCGTATTCTATTATAATTAGCATATAATCCATTTCTATAACTTATACGTACATATGTTTTCTTTAATATTAAATTATTTCTATACCCATTAAGAACCCATTTACAACTTATTGTTAGTATTGTAGCAGTTTTGGATTTGGGCTTAAAATATATCTGTTCAGCCCTTTTTAACGCCGTACTGCTGGGCACGGGTCTCCCTTTCAATACGAGCGGGATCAGGCCATAGTCCACTACGCTGGCCAAAGGCGGGTTGGCGGACTGCACATGTCTTTTGAAAACTTGCTAGGTTCTATCAGACATTGTAGGTTTCCTCACGATGTTTTTCTTCACCGTAAGACAAGTGGTAATCATAGTGAAAATGATTCGCACATGGAAATATCAGAGGTACGTGACCCAGAATTTGAACCTGCTTTACTCGGTTTCGCAAGCCAGCGCGTTTCTAGTTACCACTGGGCTATCACATTCTCATTGTCTTATATTATACATAATTAATATATATTACATCAATACTAACTTACAACGTTGTACTCTCCACTATATTTATGCAATAAAGCTTAAACAATTTAAATACAGATGCAACATATATTTTTTCTAATTTCAAAGTGAGTTTACGTTATTATTTAATAGCATTTCGTTCTCTCTGTATTGTGAATATATTTTTATAGATTTTCATTAATTATACGAAATCAAATCGTCGATCAAATCAAATTTAACAATTTGTTAGATCAATGATAAAACAAGCCTAACCAAAATTAGTCTGGAATTGGATAATCTTTAATTATATATTTAAGTGAAATTATCTTTTTAACAAGTAATAAAAGCTTTTGGAGGTGCCACTAAGATTTTTAAATAAAAATGTTGTATATTATGTCTTCACTCTTGAGATATTTGTTGTGTCGTATAGTAACAAAATCTTAAAGTTATTATAGCTTATTTGAATTAAAATAATATCGGTAGAATGTTTTCTTATTAAGTGCACTAAGCGTAAAATTTTCCGTAGACTCGTAGCATTTCGTAGGACACCCGTATACAATGTTGAAAACGTTAAAAATTATAACATTCTTGATATTACACAAAAACTCAATTAATCTCTTTATAAGTTTAATACAATACTAACATAAACCTACAACTTTGCCTAAGGGCGGTAAAAAAATAAAAGTTTTCATAAACATCCACCTTTGATATTTTTTTTGGTCATGATATGTCATATTTATATAATAATCAGTAGGTAATCAAAATTTATTTAGGTGGAGAAAAATCTTTTTTGTAAAGAAAAAATGCTTAGCTTGTATACAGTATGTAAACTATCTCTGAGGTCTTCATTTAGATCAGTTCGCATCAGCGAAAGATGCAGAATTCGAATATTTAGGAGTAGATACCATATTATACGATGTTCATAATATATACCATGTACAAATGAGTAAATTTTAAACTGGGTAAATTGCGTACATAGGAAGAGTTAGCTCTTAAAGAGATCTCTACCAGAACTCTCAGTTACAGGAAAAGATATTGAAGAATGACTGAAAAAATAATATTATTATGATGTGGCGTAGTTACAATTTTTTAGTAACAAAAGGATAGAGCAATAATTTACATAAGTTCATACGATATCA